TGTTTTGGGGCTGTGGATGAAGACGTCGAAGTTCTTGGTGAAAGCAATGAGAATGCAGAATCCCAGAGCGAAGTATGAGCCCGCAACACCGAGGGGTGCCTTGTAAGCCAAGCTTTCCTCGGGGATGCCCTGGGCTTTGCGCGCGCGCACGAAGTAGATGTGAGTGACCAGGATGGAGATCCAGGTGAGGAGACCGAAGATAGTGACCAGGTTCACGAAGTACTTGAAGATAACTTTGGAGTCACTGCTAACGTTCATGTAGCCGAGCAAGGCAATAACGGATGAGATAGCCAGTGCAGGGACAGGGACGCCACGACGATCGGTGCGGGCGAAGATCTTGGGGGCTTTGCCTTCGCGGGCGAGACCGTAGATTGTACGGGTGGCGATGTATAGATCGGAGTTTGCTGCTGAGAAGACGAAGAGTAGGATACAGGCGTTGAGGATATGTGGCAGGACGGGGATGGCGGCCAGCTCGACGGCGACGACGAAGGGCGAAGCTGCGGCTGAGCCCTTCTTCTTGTTATCGTCTGACAGGGCGAAGAGAAGACTTGGGGAGTTGTATGGAACAAGTGTGCCGACTAGAAGCACGCTGGTCACGTAGAACACCAGGATTCGGTAGAAGGTCAATTTGATGGCGCGGGGGATTGTCTTGCGGGGGTTCTGCGCTTCGCCAACCGTTACTCCGACTAGCTCAGTGCCCAGGTAGGCAAATGTGGCGGAGACCATGGTGGACCAGAAAGCCAAGAATCGACCAGGTGAGCCTTCCATCTTATAAGTGTTGAAAGCACCTGGGCTCTTCCAGTAGCGGAAACCCTTGCGGTCATGGTCCGGTCCACCGCCAAGCATGAGAATGAAGGACAGGAGGATGATGCCGAGGATGATAATGACTTTGAAGGACGACAGCCAGAACTCGAATTCACCGAAGAACTTCACACCGAAGTAATTGATGGCGACGACGATCACTAGGAAGATGGTAATCCATACTCCAGCGTTGACCTTTTCTGTCGGTATCCAATATGATATGACCATTGCACCAGCAGTCATTTGATTCGGTGATAAAATGATGTACTTGAACCAGTATCTGGATTCGTGTTAGCACGATCATCTCAAAAGGGGATCAGAGGCACATACGTCCAGCCTAGTGTGAAACCCAGCGCAGGATCAACGAAGCGTACAGCGTAACCAGTGAATCCAGAGGGCAATGGCAGCCAAGCCGCCATCTCTCCCAGAGCGCACATAACCAGGAAAACGATGAAACCAACCCAAGCGTAAGAAATAAGAATTGCACCGGGCTATTTTAAGTCAGTAAGAAGAATCACTCAATTTCGGTGTAAATACTCACGCCAGCCCTGTACAATTTGTGTTAGCTTAGATCTCAGAGTAAAATGTCCAGGGAAAGCATTCACTTACTTTGCAAGAGCTTCTCCCGTTCCGATAATCAGACCAGTACCAATAGCACCACCGATGGCTGTTTACTGTCAGCGCATACTCGCGTGCGATTCTGAAAAGCGCACCTACCAATCATAGTAATATGTCTCGCCTTGAGCGCACGATGCAACTCAACATGGTTGGGGTCATTGAGACCACTCTGACCGTGCTCAACCTTACCATCATCACTGATCTCCCTTGTGACGGTGTGATCCGGGTATTCGTCGAGCTTGATAGACTTCTCCATTGTGTGTCTGACGCGCAGAGGTTTGCGCTGACCAGGGAGAAAAGCCGTAGAGAGAAATCGCAGATGTAAGACCAGGAAGACTGGGGCTGAAGAGGGATTAAATGGAAAGCCAAGAGAAGTACACAGCCCTGGAGAAAGATAAGCAAAAACAAGGCAAAGGGAAAACACAATTAAATAAGATACGGGGAGAACCTTAGAAAGACCTCGGGACTTGCCTAGCCAAGGCTTTTTCATTTTACGGGGTAGTATGTACTATAATATAATTTACCTATCATAACACCTCAGACCACACACAGTCCACTTGGCTTAAAATCCTTCCGGAAGAGGGTGTAATCCGCGATCCGTTGGCCGTGTTTGGTTTTCACGTACTAAATAGGGCTATGCCCATACTTTTTTTTTGAGGCTCTTAATTCTCTGGGCAGGGATATCTTCAATATGCAGATAATTACTGTATACAGATGTACTTCGTCCTGATATCTTGAGATAAAGCTTGATAACCAAAACGGAGCCGGAAGCGGAGACATTGGCGCCAAGCTCATGGACACTACCCTCTGCGGGGGAGCGCTTTGCAACGGCATTCGCTTGCGAGTTTTAAGTTGCCCCATTTTCCCCCAGATTTTCAATCTTTATAACCCATGGATACGACCGATTTATATACGGGGTGGAAAAAACAAGGCATGAAATGTTCAAATGTTCAAATGTTTCACTGTTTACACGTCCAAAACATAAAAAGGGTCCAAATCCCCGCCCATATCTTGACTCAGCCACCCGACTGATAGCTCCCGGGCCATTTACCCAAAAGACCCCTTATCAAGGTCACCCCCCAAACAGCATGTGTACCCTGCCATTGCCAAGGCAGAATTTACCTTGGCACGTGAAACGCTAACCTAAACCCGGGCGAGATGTACACTTTTGAGGCTGGGCATCTGCGCCAAGACTGTCTCAGGATGGTTCCACCAATCAATGAGAGCGAAAGGAGGCAACCGCCGAATCATAGCTTATCTCTCTTGTCGGCATGGCCGGTGCTCGCGTGGCTACATGTACCTTATGGGTTAATCTATCGTACTTTTGGTTACCGGGTGTTTGTTTATGGGGAATATTTTTCTAGAAGGATTTTGGATGGCGAGCATATGGTATGATCGGCTATGGCGTCAAGAACAACACATTAATACGAGGAGGCGTCCAAGATGTGCAGTTTCCTCGATCTTTGTGCCGTACTGACAAAGTATATTCCATATTTCTGCGGGAGATGTCGATCTTCTCGGTTCCTTCGATTAGAGATTTTGTGTGCGTCAGCAACTTGTCAATGTGCTTATCTCGCGCTTGTTCCTGGGTTCCAACTGTGGAAACGCCCAGCCTAAATGCAGAGCAAATTTTTCAATCACTTGCGCGTCTTTTTGTCCTCTCCCGTGCACGAGTGGGTGCTAAAGATGCATGGCTCTGAACCAAGGTCCAATAGAGGGAACACCAAGGCTGGTATCCGGAATTGGGGCGGTGTCCGGAGGAAAGTGCGGGATAGCTCCCCTTGGCTTTCAGGCACCGGCAATTTGAACAGTTTGAACAATATGGGAAACCTGCCGAATCGTCGGTATGAAATGCCTCAAGTCCACATATGATACTCTCGTTTTCCGGTATGGACTCCGCTATAACAGATGAGCGTTCTCGCAAAGTGATCGTACGGGGCCTTGAAGATACACGGTTCGGATTTCGGATCGATAGTTAGCTGAATGGAACATGGTTTCCGGCTGAATGGGGTAAATGGTCACAGAGATGGTATCTCGATTGCGCAGTGTGGGGTCTCGGAGACCCATCCGAAGTGGATGGCCGTAATATGAAGTCCCCAGTGCTTCCGAGGTGATTGAATCCCAAGCGAAGACACAATTTAAGGGAATCCAGAATACAGAGAAGCAACAAATGAAAAAGAAATAAGGAAACAATAAAAAGGGTTTCAGCAGTGGGATGTCTGAGCTAGTCATATCAAGTTGGAAAGTATATGATCGAGTCGGGGCCTACCCAGATATTCAGATAATGCCAAGGATTGCGATAAACAGAAAATCGCGCTTGCTGAGCGTTCATCCGGGATAATCGAGCAAATTAAGCTCAATTTAGGCGATGGCGATATAACCTAGAGCATGCAGAGGTGACGTGGAAGACGATGGCCCCCAACCAACAAATCCACCAGCCAATCAGGCTCTAGTCGGGGTCACACCGACACAGAGAAGGGACTCCCTAATGGGAATCAGGCAGGATTCAGCCTCATGAAAATGCCCGAAGAACAAAGCCACCATCTAGATCGGTTATTCATTCGTCCAGAATCAAGATTCACAGATGCACGTTGCGACCCACCGCGCTTTGATGCACCAGCAACGTGGCCTTGGAAAGGCAGAATCATGTTTCCTCATAGGTAATAACATCTCGGAGGTGGTGTATAGCCACTATCCAACATATGCAGGTCTAGCGCAGTTGGCTTGGGGGAACAAAGGGTTGGCTGAGTGCTGCCTCTCACATGTGAGAGTCAGCCGCTGTGTTCAGCCTCGTGGGAGCAACGCATATACCGCCCTGAGCTTAGGGGTGAGATAATGGTGGGGGGGGGGGGGGTCTATGTTGGTGCAGTTAGGGGGACCGAAATGGGGAGATGGCTCGTATTTACTTAACTAGATGGCACCAGCGAGAAGACATGCACAATGACGACCCCTGTCGGTCGACAGAGTAGAGTTCAGGATACACAACAACGTGTATGCAGTGATCCAGGAGACTGAACCAGTCACAGTCTCATAATATCCGCTGTTACTCCGAAGCTAGTGCAAGCTGCCGTTATCAAGGCAAGTTCCTGTAAACATGTCCGGAGCTAGCAGCTGGGGAGACATTCTCAGCCTGTCGATGAATTCCAACGTTACCAACACCCTGGATGGTGGGAAATGTGATCAAATATGTTCAAGTGGGGGCCATTGTGCCTGCAAATCGAATGTCTTGAAAATGTGCTGTGGCATGCATAAGTGCATTAGGGCAGCGATCAATGGAGGTCGTTTATTGGGTAGGTGAACGCCGCAGCGGTTAGAACCTTGAGGGTATTTTTATCGCGCTGATCGGAGGATTATGATTCGTTTATTGAAGGTGGAATTTACTATGATTAGAAATATTTAATAGTAGTTAATTTGATAGTCCATGTTAAGACTGAAGAGATGCGGGGGAGTTGACTGCTGTTCTCCTGGTCCCTATATCAGAGTCTGGCGGCAATCGAACATCTGGAATTCTTCAACTTCCAGCTCTTCAACGAAAAAAAGGGGTCTCCCCTATATCGAATCTCAAATCCCCAAATCACAACATGGGTGTTATGCGTCTCCCCCGTCCATCGGGCATCTATGTCCCCAATTCACCAAGAACCCTCACCAACGACATGATCTCTCCACCACTCTCTCCAGAATTCAGCTTCGATTCCGAGACTGTCACACCATCTCTCCTCCCAGCTCTGGAATACATCTCCACAAAACTCCAACAAAGAATGATGCACGTCACCCTCCTCATCGGCCGCGGAAAGCCCTACCCGACCGGTCAACCCTCCGACCTAATGATCATCCCCATTCATCCAATCGAGCCACAAGCATGGCGAGTACTTGAGCGCGCCATCGCCAAAGGCTCGAGAAAGTTCTCACTCGGCCCCAGCTGGACCGACGCCATCAGCCGCAGCCAGTATGAACGCCAGGCAAACGACCACCTCGTCAAGCAATCCATCCTCCAAAACGAAGTCATCTTCAGCCAGGAGGGTCTAACTCTCCTGAACATGGACCGAATTTATACCTTCAAGCGTCGCATGTGCATCCTCTCTACCCGTCCCTTCTCCCGCAACGACGAACAATCAATGTCATCCTGCGTCCGTCTACTCCACCGCATCGTCGCGGATTTCTCCGGTCGCCCTTTTAGCAAAGCTTTCTTCCACCGCGTCTATGAGCAGCTCGATGTCCCAGATGAGCAGCTCACTGCCGTCGCACTTGCGTACAAGAATGTCCACAGTCAAGATGCTATCATTCTTCCCGCCCAGGCCAAACCTCCAGCTCCAGTCCCAGCCAAAGTCGAGGCTATTGTTCCAGCGAAAGCTATCGCTCCAACTAGAATTCCAGTCAAGGCCCAGACCGTTGTTCTAGCAAAAGCTACACCCATAGTCCTGGCCCAAATCCAGCCAGCTCCAGCGAAACCCCAGCCCAAAGTTGAGCAAATCATTGTGAAGCCCAAGGCTGATCCTATCCCTATCCGGGTGAAGGCCGAACGCCCCCGTGAAGTGAAGAGATCACCCATCCAGACTGTGCGCGGTCGGAGACAGCCTCCGCCGTCGAAGATGCGAGGACACAATAAGCGTGGGCCCAAGACACCTCTTTCTGCGTCAGATGTCACTCCTATCACGCGGAATGAGTGGAATATTCTTGTCAGCCAGGATATTCGTGTGCAACCTAGAGTTACCAAGTGGACTCCGTCGCCCACTGTGCTGGCAGTGGCCGCTGCTTGAACTTTGACTTTGATTTGATGCACAAAACAATTCGCTGTTATACCTATAACAAACCCCCAGACCTTATAGTGAGGACTGGGTCTCGATCACGGCTCACATGCCATCCCCCACGCTTGTTGGGCTTGATTGAGCTGGACCATGAAGACACAGATCTCTATGTCTTCCCCGTATCTGATTCCACCAATTCTGGACCTTTATAGGCCATTTTGATGAAGGACAGATTGGTCAGTCTGGACATACCGGGTGCGAAAAGACCCTGGTATCTAGACTGGCGCCAAAGACTCATCTTGGCACCCTAATGATGATATGATAATGATTCAAAAGCTTCAGGAAGTTTCCAATATTGCGAAATTCAATTCACGGTGTATATAGTTTGGGAAGAGGTCAATACAGAAATTTTAATTCATTAGAGAATATCCAAATATCCATGTAGAATCATAGCCAACAAAGCCGAAGACAGTCAGATATCCACAGTCATACATCGGAACGTTGACATGAATTAGTTTGCCGACCTCGGGAACAGCCATAGCTTGGCCCCGCTTACATTCGGCGACCGGCGAACTGAGACAGCCACTTACTTATCATCACCCAATCACACACAAGGGAAAATATTTATAGTGGGTGTTGAACATCAAAATTGAAGCATTGGCGCTATTAGCACATGGGAATGCAAGCTGTGAATAATGAGGGACGTTTCCTATCAGCGGAATTCGCCGCGACTATACTGTCCATAGCTGTACCATAACACACAACACGTGGGATTTTGGGATGGCGAGTGCTCCAAGACTCGGCCAACTCCCGCAAAATTCTCCATCGACATACATTGATGTACACAAGATGTTGGGATGGGCATGTATGCAGGCTTGGCAGATGTAGGCTTGGCGGGGTTATCTAAGTTCTGCAAGCGTATAGGAACCCCCTCTTCGGTTATCAAGTTTAAAAGTCTTTGAACTGGTCTTGAAAATCTCTTAAATATCTCTTATATATCTCTTTTATATTTAGATACAGAAATTTACTCTGAAATCTACCATGTCGGCATTCAATGAGCCTGCAGATACACCTGTAGACTCACGCAGTCTAGACAGCGACCGAAAATGGAGCCTGCAACCTCTTCTTCGCAGTGCTGAGCGCTCGCATAGCAAAATGCCGGGTATCAGGAAGATTCCTCTTCGGGCTATTGGAATTATTGCGCTTATTGCGTTTTTAAATATTCTAGTTTGGGTTGCGGCGGCTATTGTGCTGGTATGTTTTGATAGCTGGTGTCACATTGGATTGATTCGCTAATGCTTCTATAGAGTTACCATCCGTGAGTCTTTGGATATATCATAGCTTCAAGATCATAATATATACTGATTGCGGGGAATACAGTTCGCTGGTTTCTACAGCTGCCCTTGCCTATTCTCTTGGATTGAGACATGCATTTGATGCAGATCATATTTCTGTATGTCGAATTCGGCCTAGAAACAGACCAAATAATTAACAATCCTATAGGCTATCGATCTAATGACCAGAAGACTTCTGGCCACGGGACAACAGCCCGTTACCGTGGGCACGTTCTTCTCGCTTGGTCACTCAACGTAAGCACAGTCACCTCATTCTATATCAAATCAAATCTAACCTAGTCCAGTATCGTCATCATCACATCTATTGTCGTCGCAGCCACAGCAGCAGCAGTCTCTGAGCGCTTCGACAGCTTCAGCACGGTCGGTGGAATCATTGGTACCTCCGTCAGCGCTGCCTTCTTGATTCTGCTTGGTCTTATGAATGCGTACATCCTGTATAAGCTCGTGAAACAGATGCAAAAGGTCTTCAATCTCCCCGAGGGTCATGAAGACGAAGCGTGGAAGATTGAGGGTGGAGGAGTCCTTTTCAAGGTCTTAAAGAGAATGTTCAAATTGATTGACCGGTATGTTATTTGGTTAAGCTATTGATGTTCGGCGTGTCTGACAAATGTGTCTATTCTTGTCTAGTCCATGGAAGATGTACCCCCTTGGAGTTCTGTTCGGTCTTGGCTTCGACACCTCCTCCGAGATCGCTCTCCTTGGAATTTCATCCATCGAAGCAGCGAAGGGAACTTCTTTCTGGGTGATTCTCATTCTCCCGGCTCTATTCACAGGTCAGTATCCTCACACGCAGGCCCACCACTTCACCTAGGGCCTTCAACTAACACCTCCCAGCCGGCATGTGTCTCCTCGACACAATCGACGGAGCCCTAATGTTTGCTCTCTACATCCAACCAGCGGCCAACTTCCTCCCGCAAAAGCCAACAAGCACCATCTCAGACACCTCATCAACGGCCAGCGATCCAGACGAGCTCCCACAATCGCGAAACAACCACCGCGACCCAGTCGCATTCCTGTACTACTCGATCGTGCTGACCACGCTAACCGTCATCGTGGCGATTGTCATCGGCGTGATCCAGCTGCTCAGTCTCATCCTGAACGTCACAGATGCCAAAGGCAAGTTCTGGGACGGTGTCCAGGTTGCTGGTGACTACTACGATGCTATTGGTGGTGGTATTTGTGGTTGCTTTATTGTCTTTGGTGGGCTCAGCGTTCTGGTCTACAAGCCATGGCGCAGATGGATGGATCAGCGACATGGGAAGAATGTTGTTAGTGATGTGGAGAGGTATAGAGATGACGATATTTCTCCTGCCGATGCTCCTGGTGGTGGTATCTTTGTGACCGAGACAGCTGGTGCTCAGCACAAGGGTACAGCTACCGAGGTTGCTGGGAAGGGGGGTTCATCTCATGTTGCTGTCAAGGAGACTGGTGAGCCGAGACTTGAGGATCACATCGTGTAGGTGCTACATCCTAGCTAGTGAGACTGGCTCATATAAACTAGTTGACGTTCTTGAAATGCAAATGTGCTTAATATCTATCTATCTATCTTGTCTCATAGACTCTACAGCCGTAAGTACCCAAGTACCCAAGTAACCTGTGCATCTTCCAGAGGGGGGGGAAACAGGTGTTGCCTGAAGTCTTAGACCCTTAAGGCTCTGTTAACCCTAGTCCCTTCCCGATTAGGAAGGGACCATGGGTCGTCACCTACCTCAGTTTCCTCAGTGCCTTCCCAATTAGGAAGTCACCTTAGGAATCGTCACCCACCTCAGTTCACTCAGATCCTTAAGCCACTGCCAGGGTATAAATACCCCCTCCCCCCATTTTTCACTCTCCTTTTTTTTTTCCTCCTACACTCTCTTCTTTTCTTTGAGTCTCCACTCCCACCTTTTAAGGTTTCACCCTCCACTATGGTCTCCCTTCACTATGGACCTCCCATCTGAGCCCCATCCACTATGGGTTTTCTATCCTGTCCACATCCATCATGGACATCCAACCTTGGTCCCATCCACCATGGACCTATTGTCTTCACCATGCATCAAGACATTGCACGACGCACCTTCCATCGTGAACCTTCCTTTATGGTCACCTTCCAGTATGACCACTGTCCACCTTGACCACATCAACCTTGGACCTTCCACCATTGACCTTCCACTATGGTCACCTTCCATCATGACCCAAATCAACCTTGGTCTTCCAACATGGACCTTCCATCATGACCATTGACCACATCAACCTTGGTCATCCACCATGGACCTTCCACCATGGTCACCTTCCAGTATGACCACTTTCCACCTTCAACATCATTCTATCAACAACCTTCCATCATGGTCACCTTCCAGTATGACCACTTTCCACCTTCAACAACATTCCATCAACAACCTTCCATCATGGTCACCTTCCAGTATGACCACTTTCCACCTTCAACAACATTCCATCAACAACCTTCCATCATGGTCACCTTCCAGTATGACCACTTTCCATCTTCAACATCATTCTATCAACAACCTTCCACCATGGTCACCTTCCAGTATGACCACTTTCCACCTTCAACATCATTCTATCAACAACCTTCCATCATGGTCACCTTCCAGTATGACCACTTTCCATCTTCAACATCATTCTATCAACAACCTTCCATCATGGTCACCTTCCAGTATGACCACTTTCCATCTTCAACATCATTCTATCAACAACCTTCCACCATGGTCACCTTCCAGTATGACCACTTTCCACCTTCAACAACATTCCATCAATAACCATCCATCGCGGTCACCTTCCAGTATGACCACATCCAACTTGGTCGTTCACCATGCCCTTGTGTCATGTCCTACCATCATGACGACTTGGAATTATGAGAACTTCTTGTGAGATCAATCCATACATTCCAAAACATGAGCCTCGCTAACTTGTTTTTAGGAACCTTCATACCCACCCCCATTTCCCTCCCTTCCCACTCCCCTGACTCACTTCATGATGACTATCCAGCAGCCCGAACCGTCCAGTCGACAGTCTTGCAGTGGAACCACTCCGGCCTGTGGTATGCTTTGACCTTCAAGAGGAGGAAAGAAGAGAGACGGTTTTCTGTCGACAAGAGCTCCACAGGAGTGTCTCTGAAGGAGACTTCTCGTCAGGAAGAGGTGCAGCGTGTACCCAAGGGGGGAGACTCTGAAGACCGTCTGCTGCGGGTGGTGAGGGCACGGTCAAACATCCACATCCGACAGGCCTATTCGACAACCTACGTTCGACAGCCAACAACGCTTCGACCTTCAAGAGGTGGAAAGAAGAGAGACGGTCTTCTGTCGACAAGAGCTCCACAGGAGTGTCTCTGAAGGAGACTTCTCGTCAGGAAGAGGTGCAGCGTGTACCCAAGGGAGGAGACTCTGAAGACCGTCTGCTGCGGGTGGTAGGGCATGGTCAAGCATCGACATTTGATAACCGAGTTTGGAAAACCCACGTTCGACAACCCACAACGTTTCAATTTTTCAAGAGGAGGAAAGAAGAGAGACGGTCTTCTGTCGACAAGAGCTCCACAGGAGTGTCTCTGAAGGAGACTTCTCGTCAGGAAGAGGTGCAGCGTGTACCCAAGGGGGGAGACTCTGAAGACCGTCTGCTGCGGGTGGTAAGGGCATGGTCAAGTATCGACATTCAACAATCCCATTCGACATTCAACAATCCCATTCGACAATCCACTGCAAGACTCGGACGGAGACGGCTAGCTATCACGAACACGATTCAATTACGGTCAATCCCCTCTTTTTACCCTTCATGTTCCCCTTCCTTTCACTCATCATCTCGCTTCATTCACCATGTTCTCCATGAGCCCTCACATCAATCCTTGCGCTCAAGCCTGAAACCAAACGGCTTCATCAACTCAGCCACCGCAGGATCAATTTCTCCAGCCAAAATCCAAATCTTCCACGCATCCACTGCAGGCTCGCCTAGTATTAAAAAACTGGGCTTCCAGAATTCATACATTTGCGCAGCAGGGTTGGATGTGGGGGCTGCTTCCTTTCCTACATTTGAGCGTTTTTTTGCCATGGTTCCAAGCTCGTGGGGATGTGCAAAAAGAACAAAAAAAAGACCAACCATTGCATGTCTCATACTTTGTTCAATCTCGTTCTCACACACTTCTTAGAAAGCAAATCAAGGAACTTTCATGGTTATCTTTTAATTTCATCTCGAAAACAACTTAGTCTTCGAAGTAATCAATCATGGCTAATCAACTTTTCGGACCAATTTCAACTACTATATAGCCTTTGGTTCCATTATGGTACTGTTTAATGTGTACCAAGTATATGGATTTTGAACTCTTCCTATAGTCGGCCGCTTATGTCTTGTGTTTTTTCAGTGGTCTTTTTAGTAGTCTTAGCTTTTGACTTTTAACATACTTCATTGATGCCTTAGGCGCTTGTGACGTCAATTCCCATCTCCCGAGATTCAAACTAACGTCCCAGCACAACTTCAGTCAATTCAAAGATGAGACGACCGTGCGCCTACAATTTTGAATGTTCGATTTTCCTTGCTCGCCGTAAAGCCAATGTCTGTCTTCAAGCATCAGTGGCAGCAAAAGAATGAGCACGCTCCTTGAAGACATTTCCTCGCATATATGATTGCATTTTATAGATCCATCGAGAACTTATTTTTCTAGAGCTACCAACGACCATGATCGCTGATCCAAGCTCCTCCTTAAAGGACAAGACAGAAAACGTTTCCATCTTCTCATCCCAACCACCTATCTTCATTTTGCCAACGCATCTCTCCCTGGAGGAGCTGGACGAGATTGAAGGCAGATTGATAGATTATGGTGGGAGATTGACCTACGACATCGCCGAAGCTGGACTTGTTTTGGGGAAAGTCGGGCGCGCTAAACGTGCAGCGCTGGAACTGCGCACCCGCGGTACCTGGACAGAGGAGCTCATACCCAGCTCAGCTTCGAAATCAATTGGCGTGGAGCCTCCTTCCAAGCGCAGGCGCACAGATCAGTACGATGGGACTCAGGATGTCCCAGTTGAGATTATCGATCTTAGCACCGAGTCTGAGGAAGAGGATGGGGCTACGAATGGTGACTCTTCAAAGCACCTGATTCCAGAGCGAAAGGTAGAGGAGATCAAAAATTTGGTCACGGTCCTGAAACTCGAGTGGATGGATACCTCTATCAAATCAGGCAAATGTGTGTCACAAGACCCATTCGTTGTCTATCGTGGGCGAAAGATTCCTTCTCCTCCCACGACAGGGATAGAAAATAAGCAAAACCTACTTGCACAAAAGTCAAATCAAATCATCGAGCGTGCAAAACAAGATGCTGGTTTACAAACACCACGAACCCCTCCACCAGATTACATCCACGCACGTCGCTCAAAAGAACCCCCCGAAGGACCATCCCCGCGTCCCCGACCAACCCTCTATCGACAAACGACCTCTGAACACGAAAAAGACGAAAACGACGCACCCCCACAGCCAGACTGGGTCCGTAACCAGGTCGTATTCGCATGTCTACGCTCAGCACCCTTACACCCTCCAAACGAAGACTTCATCTCGCAACTCGTGAAAATCAGACGAATCCGCGAACTCACCCTCGACGAGATCGGCGTGCGTGCATACAGTACCTCCATCGCATCCGTGGCATCATACCCACATCGCCTCCAGCGACCGAGCGAGATCCTTGCTTTACCAGGGTGCAACGCCAAGATCGCAGACTTATTCGCGGAATTCCAGCAACACGGTGGCTGCGGTCATACCGATGACGACGGTAATGTTGCCGCTGCCGATGCGCTGGAGACGGATCCCATGCTGCGGGTTCTGAACTTGTTCTACGGGATCTGGGGTGTTGGAGCGAAGACAGCGCGCGAGTTCTACCAGCGTGGCTGGCGTGATCTCGATGATATTGTCGAGCATGGGTGGAATACGTTGTCTCGGGTTCAGCAAATTGGAGTGAAATTCTACGAAGAGTTCCAGGAGGGTATTCCTCGTGATGAGAGCGAAGGTATTGCGAATGTTGTTCGTGAACATGCTGGTCGAGTTCGGCCGGAAGATAAAAATGGAATCGAGTGTGTGATTGTTGGTGGATACAGACGTGGGAAGGAACTCAGTGGTGATGTTGATATTGTATTGAGTCATCGTGATGACGCGGTGACTCGGAATCTGATTGTTGATATTGTTGCGAGTCTCGAGGCTGAACGGTATATCACTCATACGCTATCGTTGCATCTGACTTCTTCGCTGCGCGAGCAACAGACGTTGCCTTTTCATGGTGATGATACAAGGAAATTCGATACTTTGGATAAGGCGCTGGTTGTCTGGCAAGACCCGCACTTCGATGCTACAGCTGTTGGAGACGATAGCCGGGGGAAAAATCCAAATATCCATCGTCGTGTCGATATCATTATATCGCCTTGGCGCACGGTCGGTTGTGCGATACTCGGCTGGTCTGGTGATACGACTTTCCAGCGAGATTTACGGCGTCATGCGAAAAAAGCTCGCTCGTTGAAATTTGATTCGAGTGGTATTCGAGACCGAGGTACTGGACGTCAGGTTGACCTGGAACATGGTGGAGAGACCTGGGAGGAGAGGGAGAGACTTGTGATGGAGGGGCTGGGGATAGGATGGAGACCACCAGAAGAACGGTGCTCGAGATAGAAACCTGGTCTAGCAAAGCTGATCGGGGTCTCGGGGGAAAGGGATTATATACTCTGGATATATGTATGGACTGTTCATAAAGATGCCTGAGGTAAAAAGATACATATAGTTATTAGGGATGTATACTGTTGACTCTTTATCAAACACCATCTTGTATACTATTTCAAAGTGTTTCATTAAACAGAAAGTACACCAGAGTACTCGGAGGTCTCCTACTTGGAAGGATCTCGAAATGCATGAAGCTCTAGGTCATCCCGACCCGGGTAAATATTGGACGCAGAAGTACCAGACCAGCTGTCATGTCTACACATATGTTATTTATGGTTACCAAATAATTGGAAGAAGGTTACTGAATCATGTCATGTTCAAGTTTCGCAAGACTCAGCTAAAGCCACATCAAGTAAACAGGAAAAAAAGTAATATGTCACAGGCCCCACACCAATCGCATGGCTATAAAGACGACCCAGAGAAAAGAAAAAGAGCATAAGGTACACAAAGATACAAATCTACCAACCTCTGGCATGGATGCATAGCGAAGAAAAAGAGCACAACGAACCGCCACTGCAAATGCACAATGCATAATCAACCCACAGCGAATCAATCATCACGCCATAGGCCTAGAGCTAGCCATCTCACCATACCGCCCACGACTCTGGGTAGTATCGTAAGCATTGAGAACACGCATCTGGCCGCCATCGTCGGCCTGGGAGAAGGCGTAGCCGCGCTGCTTGCGCATGCGCTGGACCTGGCGGACCTTCCGGATGGCTTTTTGGAACTGTTCCATGCGTGGACGGTAGTCCTGGACATTGTATTTTTGGATTTCCTGAACGTGGTGGTATTGCTGTGGGTAGTACATGCGCTTGGCATACTTCCAGGCATAATCACGTAGGAGGCAAATACAAGGTAGGACGATGGCCATCAGGTAGAAGATGGGGGACTTGAAGAGCACGGGAATGGTGCCGTAGTATTCGTTCGAGAAGCCCAGAGCCGGGGCGGCGTAGCCGTAAGCCGGGAGGAAGATGAGCCACAGGGCCATTGATCCCGGGATGGCAATGAAGGTGTACTTGGTCCAGATGTTGGTGATCAAAGCGGCTTTGCCGAGAACGGTAGCTAGCACGGCGGTGTACAGAGCTTCACCCCAGACCCAGTGGCCGGCAACCTCACCGTCTGCCATGGGAAGATCCCAGTAGTAGAGCAATTCAGAGACAATGTAGAGGATGAGAGAGTGGAAGAATCCATTCAGAATCCAGGCCCAAAAGCTGTGCTTCTGGAAGAAGACGCCTTTCTGGCCCAGCTGGTACAGCTGTGGGTAGCGGTCCAGCAATCGGGCGGAGATAAACTGGTCAAAGATTCCCATCGCGAATGGAGGTAAGACAGTGAAGAGCACGTTGTAGAATGAGAGCGTCCAGGATTCGTAGATAACCTGTCCAGAGAATGCGTTTTGGAAAGAATACTGCGAAAAGTCAGATACTACTCCAAATAATCCATCGAGGTCAAACTTACCCAGAATTGAGTCATATACAGGGTGATGTTCTTATAGTATGAGTATAAAATGACTCGGCTGATGCGAGAATAGCTCCACGCTCCGTGAACCAAAAGCAACTTTCGAAGGAACCTGAACTGGCCAATTGCCACATCGGCGGATCGTGCGGCTTGAAGACCTTCGACACCGCTGATGCCGACTCCGACATGAGCGGCTTGAATCATGGACACATCATTGGCACCGTCGCCGATGGCCAAGAGGAGAGCCTTCTTGTGACGCTTGACAAGCTTGACAACCAAAGCCTTTTGAAGGGGAGAGACGCGACTAAAGAACATGTTAGAACAAAGACAAAATCCTCCAAAAATTCAGTGGCACTTACCAGCAAACAACGGCTTTGCAAATGACAGCCAGATCCAAGAACAGCTTCTCCATATCTTTCTCCAAAGCGAAAGTCAACGACCGCCCGTCTATGATCAAAGCCAAAGGCTCGGAGTCCCCAGAGGCAAGTTGACTCTGAACGGCGTCCATTTTCTTTTGCAAGCTGTCACGAGTGGCTTCTGTCGACTCCTCGTTGATGATGAGAAGCGTCATGTCTTCCGAGATGAGCTTGCAAGACATGCCGATGTTGATTGCAGTCTCCTGCCGGTCGCCAGTCAAGACCCAAATCTTGATGCCTGCACTCTGAAGGGTATGGATAGTATCCGGAACACCGTCCTGCAAGCGATCCTCAATAGCTGTGGCGCCCAGGAGATAGAAATCTCTTTCGATCAGCTCGGCCGCTTTGTCCAGTTCATCCGCACGACTGCCGTCGACGGTAGTAGAAGCCTTATCAAAGATCTGGTACCATTGCTGGAACTCATTTTCTGGGACTTCCCGCATAGCCAGACACAACGTCCGTAGACCGTCCGAGGCATACTCCTCCAGGTGCTGGAGAGTTGCTTCCACGGTAGGGTTATCGGGATGCAACCGCTCAATAATGACTGTGTCAGCTCCCTTACAGTAGACGCGGACCTTTCCATCAGGACACCGGAAGATAGTGGACATTCGTTTTCTAGTAGAGTTGAACTCGCACACTGCTAGCAGTTCGTATTCAAGCTCCTGTCCCCCAACCTCAAAGATCACCGATCTCGGTCTTCGGTTGGTGAATCGGAAACCCAGCGAGGCGGCTCCGTCTACCAAGGCTCCCTCGTCCGGCGATGCTGCTTGGTACTTGATCACATTTGGGTCATCAGTCTTTCGCTCAGGAATGACAGTGTGACAGGTGGCAAGGAGAGTGAGAAATTCGCGAATAGCATTCTGGCTTGGGTGCGACTGAAGGTTCTCTCTGAGCTTGTTGAAGTCATGAATACCATATTCAGCGCCATCCTCCACGGTGGCACGTCGGTCTTCAGGAACGTCATCGCCATATTGGATACCGGCAATGCTAACTTGCTTGAACTCCATCATGTTGCAGGTAAGGGTACCTGTTTTGTCCGAGAAGATGTACTCAATTTGACCAAGCTCCTCAACAAGGGAGGATGTGCGGCAGGTGGCCGGGGTGTCGGTTTTATCATAGTACATGTCGAGGTCGGAGTTGATGAGGAAAGCCTGGAAGTATTTGACGATTTCAATGGTGACGAAGAGGGAGATCGGAACCAAATTCGAATAGAGCACCCAGTACGTGAAAATGTCGTAAAAGAACTGCTTTACCATTTTGACCGAGCCATAGTCGAGGTATGCAAGCTGTGAAGATTTGGTTTTCCGAATAGCGAGATCACCGACAGAACTGATGACACTGAGAACGATAAGAATGCTGACAAGCATCAAAATCTGCATGTTAACTGTTCGCTCCACAGCTGTTCGTTTGATCGGGGTTGCTGTCGCATTTCGCATCAGTTTCGTCTCGTGGCCACTAAAAACCACAATGCCATGAATCCAGGGAGTATTGCGCAGCGTTGCACCACGAAGTAGAAGTTGATCCGGAGCCAAGGGCAACTCTTTCTCGCCACCTCCAGCATTCATAGTCAAAGTGGCTTCATAAGTATACAGACTGCTATTTGGCTGTTCTGACCGAACGCGTCCACTCATACGGCTCAGATCACTGGGGCTGACCAGATGCGCAGTCTCCGGAATGGCTTGTTTGATTTTGAGATTGGTCTCGCCGTCCAAGTTTGCCGTTTCGATGTAGCATAGACCCTCAGGCTCAGATGACGCCAGTAGTACCAAGTCGGCTGGAAAAGGCTGCTCGGACTCAACCCGAACTATATCCCCGACCACAACATCCACCCATTTTGTATCGTGGAACGAAGATCCCTTAAGAATCTGAGTTTTTGAGTAGTTCAGTCCTCTGTCCGACATTCTCCGTTTGTAGTCCTCTACCAATTCTTTGATCGCCGACACAGCCAAAACAATAGCTAGCGGAACGATAGTTGTGAACTTATTCGTCGGCGACACATTTGGGATTTGTTGCAGGATGGCGGTAAACAAGAAGAACAGGTTGGCGTATTTGGAGAATTGTTCGAAGAGGAATTTGGGAACGAACGTAAAGATGTTGTATTTGGCCGTTGATACGAAGTTGCTGACGAACTTGTGGGTGGAATTGGCAGGCGGGTTGTTGAGCTGAATCATGCGCGGGCCCAGTGTCGATGGATCAACCTTGCGTCCAAAGGGATTGAGGTCAGACGCACGGAATTTCTTGCGTTCCTTTGGGCGCGGCGCCGGAGAAGCACTGCTATCGACTGTCGCCCTTCTTGCGCCTGATTCAGTCAATGGAAGATCCATTTCCGAATACTGTGACGACCCCATGCCAAACATGTATTTCGCCTTGCCCATCAATCCACCCCCGAGTCCGAGGACGCTATTTCGCTCATTTGCCTTGCGGACGTGGTGTGAACTGGCAATTCGGTCTTCGTCCGCGTCGAGATCATAATAACCTGAATGCCCGTCGTCAAAGTCGTCTAAAGAATACCGCCGATAATTGTCCAGTCCAGAGGTCTGAGAATAGGTTCGATCTCGCGTGCCGCTGGAGTAGGGGTCATTTGGCTGCAGACCGGGGTTGACAGGCGGATGCGCCGGTCCGGAAGTAGCATTGTGTTGCGTTGCGCCGTGCGGCGCATGAGATCCGACAAAGTGATCATAGGAGACGGAAGGGCGCGGTTGTGTTTGGGTGTACGGTTGTTCGGAGTCGTCAATGTCGTAGCGTTCTAATAGGTGTTCATCATTCACGGGAGGGCCTTGACCACTGTTATAGATAGGTTCGGAATCCAGCAGCAGGTCGTCATCGCGGCCAGCGGGTGGATGCGACCCAGGAGGTCTACCGCTGGCCATGATGCCGCGGGGAAGCTGACAGCCTCACTGTTGTAGCGTAGTAGCAATGCCTCAGGGGCATTGATCGCAAGGCCAGGTCGACAGAAAGCGCTGTGCTATATCTGTCGGAAGCAGGGATAATCGGAAACGAGGTATAGGGAGCAAATAGCAGATTTGACGGGGTTTGTATTAGAAAAATGTGGGAGTCGAGTGAGAATGAGGTCCAAGGGTGGCTTAGCGGGCGAAGGCAGCAATTAAGCTATGTTGATTTGATGCGCGGGTAGGCGGTAAAGCGCTTCACAACAATCAAAGAGCTCAAATATTCGGAAATATATTCTTATTATTAGCACAGTGATGGTATAGTTTTACATGCACTTCATTTCTGTACTTTATTCGATATACTATGGTCAAAATACATTTCTAATCATTGGCCGTCCCGGAGTCTACAACCAATTGAACTAAGAATAGGGGGCTCTTGGCAGCCGGAAATATACTAACCGCTTTGTTTGTATGGAGTATACTATGTAGGAACCGACATTGCTCCCACTAAAATGAAAGATATGTTGGGGAAGAAAAAGTCAGTAGAAGGTACTTGAGTGGTTTTCATGAAGTTTTAGGTACACAGTTTACATGTAAAACATTAGGAAAAATGGTTAAGTTCATTCATCTACTAGCGCCCATATGTGGCAGCCAAGTATCATTGATGTAAACGCCATGCGAAACTCCAGTCCCCCGATCGTCAAAGTAATGGTAGTACATGCTGTTCATTCGATTTGAACCAACCGGTCATTTTCTGCCCGAGACTCATCGGCCATGCCAATCTTCGCCCGCTTAGCCAGGTCGGCCTGGAGGACCTTGTCAACAGCAGCATTGATATCTTTGACTTTTTCCCATGCCACATTTGTCTTGTTCACAATTGCCATGGCATCTGCTGGCGCACCTGCGTACTTCGAGAGATAACAGACATCACCAGCGCTATTAATGCCAATGACAAGATCACCCTCGGCAGCCTGCTCCTCCTTGAGGGTGGCGTCAACAATGACATGCTTGCTGTCATTGAAGGTGTGGAATGTGACTGAGAGAGGCTTGTGTGTGATATTAAGTGCGACAGGCACACGCTGTTCAACGCCGTAGACTATGACACGTCCGTCTCTCACCACAGCATCCGGCCGGCGGAAGTGTTGCAGTCCAGCCATGATCGCAATGCAGGCGGCATCAGTAATGTTTCCATCGTAGTCAATAATGTGAACATCGGCTCGAATCGCCCAGCAGCTCACACCCTTTAGAATACACAGAGATTCAGTATCGAGGGCGTTGGAATGGCGGATGATACGATCAAGGGTGTTAGTGGCGTATGCCTCGATGTCGTTTGTTCTGCAAGAGGTAATTGTGAGCACAAATCAATGCATAACGATGATGATCGGTGGTATATACCGTCCGTTTTCCCAGGCCGGTGAACCCATTGCACTCAGCTCCAGGTTGATGTTGAAGAGACCATCGAAGGGTCGGTCTTCACGCGGTTTAGTAACCTCAGCAGAGATGCGAACAATAATGCTAGAGAATCAGTCAGTGATTGTCATTGGTAGACCAACAAAAGATCTGGAACTCACTGTGTCTTCCCAAGCTGCAGCTTCACATGTCCATATTCTTCACCAAAGGAGATGTTGAGAGGACGATAGTCGTCAGGCTGGCGACCATCGAGACGCACATCCTCACGGAGCGCCTCGAGAATAAAGTCGCGCTCTGCGATTGAGAGTTGCGCTTCTTTCGACATCGTTGAGGGAGGTCTAGCAGCCCCGGCGCGGGGATCAGAGATGCTTTCTTTTTTGGGCCATTTTGCCCGTGCAGGCCGCATTGTAGCGGTCCGGAGTATTATTATTCCGAAGATTACGCCAATGGTAGGTGGAATACGTAAGGCGGTGAGAAGAACGTGAGGAGAAGGTTGGTGCCTGAGGCGACTACGTACTCCCAAAGCTGGAAGCCGCAACGTCCTAGGACTTCTAACTTTCACTTAGCAACCACACAACAAAATGACTACAGGTATGCCATTAGAAGGAAAATTTGCGAATATGAATATTCATAGCTAACGTTGCTTTAGCCCACAGACCTACTTTTGACCCGGTACGGCAACTTTTCTCAACACGACTCTTCATGGACATTGACTAATTTCAACAGGCGCAAGGCAAAGAAGCCCTCCGCGGCCCGGCCTACCACCAGCGACTCCTCCCTGCGCATAAACACCTGAAAGTCCGGTATGTAAAACGAACTTGGCCAGACCGCACCGATCACTGACATTATTCTAGCCAACCTGGACAAGGCGGCGCCGCCGACGCAGACCCATCGCCCCGTGACCTTCGCGCAGAGCTTCTCCAAGCTGAGGCAGCGCACTTTGCCAAGAAGAATGGCGTTCCCGTCGAACAACCAGCTATTGCTGAATCCTCAGCCCCTAAGCGACAAATTGAAGCTGCGCCACAAGATGGAAGCGATGGCGACATACAGGAAGAAGACCCAGAGGCCAAACGCCGACGCATATTGGAGGAGACGCGTGACATAGATGCCGATTCAGACGAGTCAGAAGACAGCAGTGACGAGGATAGGTGAGTTGAATCTAGGATCTCGTGCTTAGGACAAATAAACTGACAAATCGCAGCGACGAGGAAGACGAAGCAGCCGAGTTAATGCGGGAGCTTGAGAAGATTAAAAAAGAGCGATTGGAACAAAAGGAAAAAGAGGTATCTCGCATTCTCGCACCCTGGATCCGACAATGGTGGCTAATGCGTAACAGGAGCGTGAACGGGCAGCCGAAGAAGAAGAGAAGCGTGAGGTTGACATCGCGCGCGGAAATCCTCTGCTCAATTCCCAGGATTTCAGCATGAAACGGCGTTGGGATGACGATGTTGTGTTCAAGAACCAGGCTCGGGGAACAGAGAACAGAGATGGCAAGGAATTCGTCAACGTATGCTTACTTTCCTTTGGCTTGTTCTTATGACGTTAAACTAATTCGTTCTCAGGATCTTCTTCGTTCTGATTTCCACAAGCGCTTCATGGTATGTACCTGTATTCGCTCTCATTTGCATACATTCACTAATCAGACTTTCAGGGAAAATACGTGCGTTAGAGTCTCCTGTGATAGTTGGGTATCCAGATGTCAGTTCATGAGGTATTTCAGCTTAGCGAATGGATATGTATTATGTTATGTTGTTTTTGACGTTGTATTAAAAGAATATCATAACTGTCAAAAGGATTTTACCCTAAAGCAATACCCCCAGCAATCTCCACAAAAGCACATAGTGATGTAGTTTCAACCTTATTTCTTGTACAATTATTGAATATAGGAAAGTTGATTTGCACACTTTACTTCCTTTCCACTATATTCTATATTTTGCTACTAGTTCTTATCCTTTTAGCTACAGCACCAAAAGGGGGAGAAATATATTAACAAAGTCTTGAAACAAGACATCTACAAAGACTTCGAAAAAGACACGACAAGCCTGCATAAGGATCCAACTGTTCTTGTAGCTGTCCTTTTCTCTTGTCCAGTGAAGAATATTCCGATGGCACTTCATTCAACTTCCTTTCATGAGTTCTCTTGTCTTTTCATATCATTGGAAGAAACTGCTGGTAACAATCTTTGACTTTCTTACTCAAAACAAGCGATTCGCCTATGATTATTTTTAGCGAGGAACTATTAAACGCTTTAGCATTATATCATAAAGGACATTGTTATAATCAAGGGCATTATCAATTCATTCTTTGGATCTCGGTTTCCTCCATATCAAAAGTTCTCGGTGCTCCCACAAAGTCCTTCGATCTAAGCACCATCCCCTTTGAGTGAGATACAACATCTAAAGCCCACAAAGACATACAGATCACAGACAATATGACCGAGCATGGAAGAATCCCTAATAAATGGCGAATAATCAGTCCCAGACAAACGCAATATCTCTTTTACAACCTCGAAATGAACAAATTTGCAGTTGATCCTGAGAACAAAGGCATATACTGGGTGACTGTGGATCTTCCCTTGACCCTGAGTCTTAGCCATACTGATGAAATGCTGCTAGAGTTCGCAATTTGTGAGATCCAGAACTACCGCGTTCTCATTCAGCGAGAGCCAGAGCATTGAGTAAGGAAAGAGTGTATTTCGTTCGGGGTAGCAGAACCGGAGGGCCATTTTCTCATAACAGAAGTGGCCCTTCGAGTTGTAGCTGATGCTGTGGCTCTCGCAAAACACTGGCTGGAGGAAATTCGTGCTCATAGGGTTATTCTTGACCGAGAACGTATCTTTCGTGACGCTTGAGGAGAAGTTTGAGAGAAAAAGGGAAACTTAGCACTAGTTCCAGCCCTAATTGTACATAGAAAACTCGTCTGTACGGTTTTATATTCTTGTAGACTGATAATTCTAGTATGTTTACTCCGTGCTATCATTCCTATTATTCTAGCTATCACATAAGAAAGAACGTCAAAAAGAGACATTGGAGTATTATTTTGCATACAACGTCCTACATATCGTCTCGGCTAGATAAATGAAATTGTTCCTGAGACAACAGAAATCAAGGATTTTACTGGAAGAAAGGCTCTCTGGAAAATCTGTAAGATGCGTAAAGGCGAAAGGGAACTATATGCAAGTGGAAGTCTAGATTTATTCTATGTCGTTAAGTGTAGGGGTTACTCTTGTTGTACCCAACCCGAAAACGCTCCCCGATGTTGGCATCTAATACAAAAGCTAACTATATAGTAGTTAATGTAGATATTTGATTCATATACTAATTTTTAGCTATCTTGGCCTGAGTGATCTTATTGAGTGAAACAGAAGTGAGAAAAATTAGATGGATAAATAGGTACATAGTGAGACTGATGGTAGCACTTGAGGTTAATGAGGTTCAGGGCCTGTCTCGGTGTTTGGCTGGGGGTAACCCGGGAAAGGGGCGCCTGCCCGGGTGCGCCTGAGTAGTGCGGGTGCCTATGTAGGTAAAGTGTAGTGTCATGTGATGCATCATGTGACACAAAAAGAACAAAGAAATAAAGGCGGTGAGGGCACGGCAAAATTATCTGAACACGTGACCCGCGGGTAATACCGGCTTCGCTCCCGCATCTACCCGTACCTATCCGCCCCACAATAATTCTTATCGTTATCGTTAATCAGCATGGATTCCCCTTCGGATTATCCCCCTTCGGATTTATCCTCATCTTCATCCGAAGAGAATAACAAGAACGTTCCAACCATGGATTCGCGTCCAACCGCCAAGGAGTTGCTTGGTACGTATTAACCTTGAGCTGCTGCAGCTACATCCGTGTCTCCCATGTCCCTTGACTAACAATGTGACGTGACAGACCGCGTCGACTATGATATCTCGCAGTTGCTGCAGCGGTTCGAGAACATTGTCGCCATTGCTGCCAACAAGTTCGACGGAACCAGCCACGTCGATGCCGCTGTTGAAGCATTCCAAATCGATGTTGAGTCCACTGCCCTGGTATGTTGATCTGTGCCCCCAGTACCCAGTTACCAAGCTACCTTTCCCCTTCCCAAGACGAATGCAATTGAGCTTCCAACTTCACACTAAAACGTGAGACTAACATTTCGCTACCTTAGATTCGTGCCGCAGAGGACCTCCTCGCCTTGTCTCGCCTCATGAAGGAGCTTTGGCTTTTTGGCAAGCTCGATACCCTCGGTGAAGATGAACGTGACGTCCAGCGTCGGGAGAAGCTCGAGGGGGATGTGGAGGCCATTCGGCAGGCCCTTGAGGGAGGACTGTTGATGCCATATTTGGATGGCCCCGGAGAGCCCGAGAAGCCCGGGGACACTGAACAGTCCGAGGAGCCTGAGTCAAAGGACTCCGAGCAGGCCGAGAAGCCTGAGAAGACCGAACAGTAACGGTCATGTCCCCAGGCCCTCCTCTGAAGCATTTTGCCTGTTGGCCCTTGAAGCTGTTTCGCATGTGATACCCACTTGTTTCCTTACGTCTGGCGTTCGACCGGTGTTATGGCGCATTCAGTTTACCTGCGATATTGAATCAAAACTCAATTTTTACCATTACTTGCTGCTTCGCTCGCTGAGTTAGACTAGAAATAGTGTAGCATCCTCCCTCCCTATAGACCTTGCTCGACCGGAGGAGCTCTGCAACCTCAAACGATGTCATAACATGAATAACCCCCAAAGAGAAATGACTGCAGCTGTATAGTGCGGGGCGATAAGCCCAGCTCCGATAACGATTTCTCCCCTCGCGACGCGAACCTCCACTCCACCATTGACCATCCTCTCTCACAACCGAAACCTCGCAACGCTTGTCTCCGGGTACAACATTTCACCTCGAACCGCAATCACCTCTCACCAAGATGCCACCTCACAACCCGCACCCGCTCCCCTCTCTCACCCTAATCGTGGCAACGACCCCAATCCGCACCGCGTCGACCACAAAAGACGAAATCACGCGTCTAGGCATTGGCCTAAACGGCACCCTCCCATGGCCCCGCATAAAGACAGACATGTCATTCTTCGCCCGCGTGACATCGCGCCCACCAAGCCCAGGCAAGACAAACGCGATAATCATGGGCCGCAAGACATATGACTCAGTTCCCACCTCGCTGCGCCCTCTCGCAAAGCGAATTAACGTCGTGATCACGCGCGACACGTCCGGTTCTGTTTGCGAGAGCGTAAATGCGGAGTTGGGGAAGATGAAGAGGAAGATTGCGGCTAAGGCCGCTGAGGCTCAGACACAAGCACAAGCTACGAATGCGGAAAAGGAGGCTTTTAACCCGCCTACGGATGCTGTCCCGGCTCCGCCGGCGGTCCCGATGACTGATGCGATTGTTACGCCGAGTCTGGGCGCGGCGTTGGAGCAGTTGGACTCTGTGTATGGGGCGCAGGGGACGCTTGGGAAAATTTTTGTTATTGGTGGGGCGGAGATTTATAATGCTACGTTGAAGATGGGTGGTGAGGAGTTGGGCGGGAGGGCTGTTAGGGTTGTTATGACGAATGTTGTGCGGAAGGGGGCTGTTGATGCGCCTGCTTCGTTTGAGTGTGATACGTTTTTCCCGTTGGATGGGCTCAATGAGGGGAATGGGTGGCGGCCTGCTAGCTCTGAGGAGGTTTCTGAGTGGGTTGGGGAGGAGGTTGATGGGGAGTGGAAGGGCGATGGGGATGTTGAGGTTCAGATGGTTGGATATGAGAAATTGAATTAAACATGCGTAGGATATGGTCCTCCCTGTGGATGATTGACTAGTTAAATATGTTCAAAGATTCGTACTTGGTGTGTGTCTGTCCAAACCAAATAAAATATATACAACAAAACTATGCACAATGCCAATGTTGGCTGAGTGAGTCCACAGAATAGATAGACATAAAATGAGAGTATATGCAAGGCTATGCGAACAGTTGAATCAGGATGCTCGACAACGCCGGAAAATGCAAATGGAAAACAGTGCAATGGCCGATCAATGGTCACGGCCTAGTCGCTATTCTCCTTCATGAATTTCACAAATGCTTTCTTGTGTACCAGGCCGGCATATTTTCCGTCCTGAGTAACGCAGAGGTAACGAAGACCCAGCTTGGCAAAGCATTGGTAGACCAAATCGATAGGGGAATGGACATCAAGAGCGATTGGAGCCTATGAATAAACAAGTTAGTATGGGCCAAGATATTGGAGAGGTTAACCAAGCTTACAGGGTCAATATATTGACTGAAATCTACCTGGTAGGCATCCTCGGTTTCGCTGTCATAGACGGCGGTGGAAGGATCCATAGCCATCCGACATATCGTATTGTCTTCCTCATCGCCCAGCGTGTCTAGTGCGTACTCGAGATCCGGTGCTGGGATCAGACCGGCTAGGACACCCTCACGTAGAATGGGAAGTCCGCTGTCCAGCTCACCTGCCATGAGCAGGTGTTCCAGTTTGAAACGGAGGGCCGTGGCTGCGACGAATGGCGATGCAGAGATATCGATGATGCGATTCTTCCGTACTGGTCGGACTATGTCCCCCAGCTCGGCATCGGTGGTCGGCTGGAGTTTGCTATCAAGGAAGGGGTAGGAGTTCATATCGGTCAACAGGTCCTGGTATCAATTAGTATAACGTTGAGGTTGGGATACCAGGGGGAGGGCAAAACTTACATAAATACTGCGAGGTTCAATGGCATCCGCAGTCCACTTGGCGCAGAGCACAGACAGGGAAAATGGAAGCACATGGTTGAGACTTCCTGTCAATTCGAACAGAATCACAGCCAAAGTGACCGACAGTCGTGTCACACCGCACATGGTCGCACCAGCGGCAATCAATGCATAGACTCCTGGAGTGACGCATGCCTCAATCCCAGCAACGGCAGGGCAAGAGTCGAATAAGAAAAAGGTAGGATGTCTAAGAGCCCAGTACTGGATTAAATGTCCAACAATCCGCCCCATCAAGCCGCCAACTACCATAGATGGCACATAGATGCCCGCAGGCACTTTGATACCGAACGTAATAATAGTCAGGAAACTCTTGATAACAAACGCCACCAGAAGGTACTGGACGACTTCAAGAATACCGTCCGTACGGGGACATAGCCCCGTACTCTCGACATCTGCTTCACAAGGAGAAGCTAGCTCGAATAAGAGTTCCGTGACAGGAAGTTTGGTGTATCGATTCCAGAAGCTGACAACGCCTGTAAATAGTGCAACGAGGAAAACCTCAAGCATTGGCCAACGCTTGATGGCTGGAATGCGACGGAATGATCGTGCCCACAGGCTCGAGGCTTTGATGAAGAGCGCGCCAGCGGCGCCTCCCATAATACCAAGAAGGATGAAAATGAAAAGCTCGAAGATCTGCCAGTCGGAAAGATACCGGACTTCAAATAAGACGATCTTACCTGTTCCATAGGGGTTGAGGAACTTAAGGGACAACGTAGCTGCAATGCAACAAAAGAACGTCCGGAAAAGGGTCTTGGGTGGGAAATAATAGCTGACTTCTTCCAAGCTGAAGAGGACACCGCCAATCGGAGCACCAAAGGCAACAGCAACACCACTAGCAGCACTGGCACTCAGAACCTCTCGTCGCTTTCCATCGTTTTGGTTATACTTGGCGAACAGACGACAACAGATATTGCCCACGCAGGTGGCAATGTGAACGTATGGGCCTTCTTTGCCCAAGCTCAGACCAGACGAAACACTAAAGATCAAGCCAATGGTTTTGATAACTAGCGTTTTCAGTCCCATATATCCGTGGAGGACGAAGCCACTGTTGATGACCTTGACTTCTGCCACTCCACTGCCAGCAGCAGAGTAGTAGATCATAGCTGGACGGGACGGAATATTAGGCAAATTTCCATGTGGCGGACTCATCTCTGGCTCCGAATGAGGAGACTCGGAGGCACCGAGTCCATTTGCAGATTTTGTCCCACGGGAGTCGGCGCCCAGGTTTTCATCAAGCGTGGCAAGAGAAATGGACGAAGGAACAACAGTTTTTGTGAGCAGAGTCAAAGCACACGAGATGAGGGCTAGTGTCACAACCCAGAAGACAAACATGACGAAGTCTACCCACTGGCGTTCTGTACCCGATGGCGAGAAGATCCCGGACCAGGACCGCCATGCATCACAAACACCCAGCCCTTGACAGCAGGACCGCCGACTACGGAAAAACTGGGTTGTGCAGAAGCCTTCCTTCAAATCAAAGACCGACCCTTCAGTGACATCGACGAAGTAAGCAATGGCAGCCGTGATGCACCCAATGAGCGCGACCAAGATCCATCCTTGTGCACCGTCGAAGGCCGCTAGCAATCGGCCTCGGACATCTTTCCGTTGGCGGAGTAGGCGAAGTCGTGCGCCATCGGCGATACTATCATGCACCCAATCTGTGGAAGTGAATTGATCGTACCAAGTCCGCTCATCCAAAAATGAAGAGGCAGTAAGATTGTCCTTTGTGGACGGAGGAAGGCTAGCGGGTCTACTATCGCCGTCTATACTCGCTCGTCGGCTGAGCCGCCTGCCCGCAGAATTGGCACGGCTATGATTTCGCGTTCGCCGCAGGCTATCGGCGGCCAGAAGATGTCTAAATGAGTCCGTGCCAGTACCCGACACTCCGGAAGTGCTGGTGTAAGACCGTCGCGGAGCTCGTCGTCGGAACTCTTGAGCAGGCCCGAGAAGGCTTGTTGTTTCCGTAATCTCCAAGGGCGCATCGAGGGACTGGTATTCTGTATGTCTTTCGGAGAGGTAGCTTTGAGATCGTCTGTAGGCACTCGGTGAGGGGGGAGCTGTTTGGGCAGTGCGTGTGTTTTCGGTGTCGTCTTGCTCGCACAAGGGAGCGCGGGTCTTTGGAAGTGACCGAGGCATGTCGCTTAGAAAGATTTATGCTTCAACTATATGTAGTGGAGTTGGCAAGGGTCAGTCTTATCAGCAGTTGGAGATATGCCGAAGACGATCCACATCCGACGTAAACACGGAGTGAAATGGAGCTCACACGACCAAAGAGATCAAGGGACTTTACTTACTATATAGCATATCTCTTCCCAAAGCTCAATGCTTTAGAAGGATAAACAAAAACAAAAAACAAAAACGACAAAGAGATAACAGTGAGAAAAGAGAGTCCAAGATGAGGTGACCCCATGGATGATCGACTTAAACGGCGGGGACGCGTCAGGCGGAAGTTCAGTGCTGACCCACCAGCCACTATAGTCATTTTTTGTCTATCTTTAATTTATTTTACTCGTTGAATGTTCAATGCTCAGCAGTTTTGTGATGGTGATTCGATGGTTTGTTTTTCGGTGTTACATTCCTCTGATCATCTCCACGTTTCCCGCCGATCAACATGTTTTACTGTACGAGGGGCATGCTCGTCTATATCATAGGGACAAAAGTATACCTGTATACCCCGTGCTCGTGACGCCTCTCTGGAGTTGACGATAAGCGAGAGCACTGAAGAATGTCTGTGTTACAACCCTGGAAGCATCTCCTTGGGTTACTAACTTAGGTTAGGATGTTGAAACCATTCTCGATATTTCCATTTTGGGGGTGCATCCGCCCCCCGGCTGAAGGGATCCCTGTGACAGACGCTGCCCAATCCGATCGTCACCCGACGCTGATCTCTTGGCATGCTTCATGAAGTATACGCCACCGTGCGAGAACCCGGGTGTCTGTGTCCGGGCAAACAGCGTTGGCCTCTTTTCGGGTGTCTGACATCACTGGGATATAAATACTTAGTTATCAGCTCGAGCACGCGGCTGACTTGAGGCTCATTTTACCGTATACATTTTTCAGACTATCCAACACTAGGGCAGAGATCGCTCGGTACGTTCCGATTTCACTGGTTCTAGCTTCACGTGTACAAAGTTATAGGGAAGCAAATATCGCTACTCTATAGAAAAGAATACTCGAGGTCCATATCTACGTCCGTCGCTCGGAACATTTTTTAGACACTTTTTCAACATGGTCTCCTTTACCGCTCTTTCATGTGGGGTTTCAACCTCAGAGAGTATGGGATTCATAGATATAGAGTGGATCTATGTCAGGCCACCGTAGTTATTTATTTTTTTGGCGTTTCTTCACGACAGGATCCGAAGTGGGGTTTAACGACGAACTCAGTCAAGTTGGGTGACCGTTCAAGTATCGTAATATGTTCCTAGCGTATTCCGTACATATTATCAGAAAGTTGATAGGAAGTCTTGTTTTATGGTTTGAGGGCTCACATGACTCTATACACTGCTATTATATAGAGATACGGCATAAAAGGACTAGAGCTTCAAGACTCCAAAGCTGACCGGCCTTGACGGATGAAGTCTCGATAATCCTGTCGTCTCAAAAAGGGTATAGTAACTACCCCCTTCGGTAGATATAATAAATGCTTAGTTTGAATAAACTAGACGTCGAGTGAAATACTCTACTTTAGGTGGTTTTAATGGTGCTATTCGTAAGTGTAGGTTTAAAACCGTGATATTCCCTCTGACTTAAACAAGCACCCATTTTACCATAGTGCTTGTTAGATTAATATCTAACTAACAGGGAGTTTTTTTCCCCTATAATAAATGTTAAAGATAATGAATATGTACCAGTTTGGCAGTGAGAATATAATTTAAAGTAGTCAAATGTGGCCAATTTTGCTACGGACAATGGCGAGTGTAGACAAACTATTGCTCCCCTATGTATATAGCCTTGGTGTCTGACAACCGCTCTATAGTAAACAATCAAGCATCAATAGGAGGATCCAACAGCTTCAATATCTTATTTTACCTTCTCTCCGATTTAATTATATACTGCACACTTCCGGTAGGCACATATAGATTTATATTCGTGCTATCACTCCGTACAACTGATGAGTATATCATTTAAAATTGAACTTGAAAATTGTTTGTGACAACTGCACATCATGAACCATTACAATAAATAAACTAGATTTCCTCGCCTAAGGCCAACCAAAAGACTGCGTGATTATTCTGCTATTAATTGGCTCATCTGCCTCGGCTTTGGGACCCCATTGTTTATAGAGTGAGCACTCCCCTATATAAGTGACTAGCATAGCCCAGCATGGCGCCTTTGGTCTTCCATCCCTAGTTCGGGATGCAAAAAGCAAAAAAGCAATATAACAAATCACAATGCGCCAATCAACTATTGATATGCATCACTGATCATAAGCGGCAGCTGGGGATTGGCTCGACATATGTACAGTAAAGGAGCTGAAGTGCAAGCAGGGGGTCCACGGGTTCATCCGAGCTTTTATGAATCCATATCTTCCCCCAGAAAAATGCTGCTTGGTTGTCTTCAATCCTTTGACATTTTCTTTTAGGTTAGGGCAGTGAGTACTCCGTACGGCCAACCCGCAATATGGTATGGCTTCAGGAATTCCGGTCTTCAGAGTCGTTTGTCGTGGCGACCGTGTCAACAGCCATTTTCACTGTGAGTGATCGCCCTCGCCAGTTCCTGTCATTCGTTAACATCCGATTTAGGATTTGTTTATTTATGTGATGGTAAGACGCTTCATTATGTAGATTCACGGTGGTGTATACTCACCTTACACTTTAGATCATTCCGATCATGCCCACGGCCTTGATTGATCGTATGGGCGCCAGCGAGCAAGATGGTACAAAGTGTTCTCAGTTATTTCGCGATCCACCCGCTAAAACTTCTTCAGTTCAACTATGGGTGTCGATTCTCCTTGCCGTATACGGCGGCTCGATTCTTTTTGGATCGCGTAGGTATTGCGCATCGCATAACTCTGGAAAAGGACAAAGCTAAATAACGAACTTCTACAAAATAGCATTCTTCGGATACTTCGCAGACCATTGCAAATTACGACAAGTGCCCTTTGTGGTAGGACTGGTTGCCCTTGCTGCCTCAACTGGTCTCTTTGCACTTGCTCGATCCTTCCCTGTCCTCATTATTGCGCGAACGCTACAGGGAATATCTGCCGCCGCGGTCTGGATTGTCGGGCTTTCTATCATTGTGGATAATGTGCCCAGTGAGCGCGTGGGGGAGGCTATGGGTTATACTACTGTTGCGCTTTCATGGGGATCTTTGTTGGGTCCCGCTCTTGGGGGAATAATGTATGACAAGGTAGGCTTCTACGGGGCCTTTATAGTGCCTATATGTCTGCTTGTCGCGGATTTAATCATGCGATTTGCAATGATTGAGACAAAGAGTGAGTCCATACACTGTCGAGTCACTCCTGTCTTTTCTTTTAGCCGTGCCTTGACTTACTATTGACAGAGTCCACCGAAGTCAACGATTCTCTGTGCAACGAGAGCTGCAGTAGCTTTGCAAGTGGATCAGAAAGTGCCACTGAGAGCTTCCCATATTTGAGCCCCGATGAGCAATCCCCTTTGCTGGGACTTTCAAAGTCAGAGGTAAAAAACGGACAGAAAGGTGAAACCAAAGCCTCGGTCACTGTTTTCAATCTACTCCGCTCTCAACGCTTGCCACTCGCATTGGCAACAATTGTCATGATTTCTATTGTCATTTCATCTTTGGATGCAGTAAGTGAACAGCCACTTTGAATATCGCATCAGATGCTTACCTCACGCTTTCCTCAGACGCTTCCCCTATTCGTTATTGAAAAGTTCCACTGGTCACCTAGCGGTGCTGGCTTGATATTTGTTGTACCCGCCATCGCCAGTTTCTCCACAATATACATCGCAGAACACGCCAGCAAAATAGGGTCTCGGATCATCGGAGCGGTTGCATTCATGCTCGTCGCCATGTCGTGGTTTTTGATGCAGCTCGTCAAGCATAATACCACGAATGATAAGGTTCTCTTGGTTGGGATTCTAGCGGTGCTAGGTGCATCCATCTCCACAATTCAGATGATTGCAATGACAGAAGTATCATATGCGGTTGAAGAACACGAGGCAGAATTCCCTGGGGCTTTTGGTGATACGCTCCCCATAGCACAAGCGTATGCGCTCTTTAACATGGGACTTGCGGGAGGCCAGTTGCTAGGCCCCGTTATCGCGGGAACTATCCGGGTTCACGCTGGGTGGAGTGCGCTGATGGTCACTCTTGGGGTTTGTTGTGGGTTGATGTCGTTATCTCTCTTGATATTCCGACAGAGGCCGATCAAGTCCACGGAAACCCAGACGGAAGAAGGAGCTTAAAAAGGGATTGGGTATATGGACTCTGCTGGGTGTTTCTCGTCATAGAGTCACCAATCACGGTGTGCTTTTATTGTGTACTTATAGATTGTGTAGAAAGGTCAGGTCGTCTTCTTTCATAGTTAAATATTTAATTGATTATATTTCCCCGAATTCGTACAATAAAACATCCAAAGGCTGCATTACTATAGACATCATATCAATCAAGTCATCGAAGGATTGAGCAAGTCATATTTTTAGAATAAATCTCTGTTCTTTATTTACACTTCCAACGATACTCTCACTCAAATTCCGTGTAGCCTTTGATCTCCTTAGGCTTGTGCCTCGGATAACTTTCCCTGCTCTGCTTCAAACCCATCTGGAGAAGAGGGATTGCAGAAAAGACAGTCACAGGCATAGGATCAACAACAGGAACATTGAAACCCACAAGCTCAAGCCGCTTTCTGATTTCTTCAGCACAACCTATAAACCCAGTGCAACCCAGGATAATCGAATGTGCATTATAATCACGCACCAGACTCAATGCTTGCTCAGCCAATCTATTGGTCATCTCATCGACTTGACCCTTGATTTCAAGCGATCGCATGTCGATGGCGCGACAACCGACAAACCTGCCTTGGTGACCATAGGCATTGACAGAGTCTGTGATGATGGGAATAGACTCCTTCAAGATGGTTACCACACCGAACGTATCCGCTAGACTGGCACAGATGTTCATGGAAGTCTGTGCCACACCCAGAACCGGGATATCGACGACTTCTCGCAAGACGTCCAAACCGGGGTCACCGAAGCAATCGATGACTATGGCATCGGCACCATTTTCCACTTCTCGTTGAGCGGCGGCAATCATGCCGGGGACTGCAAATGCTTTGTCGGTTCGAGATTCAACGGAGGATGGGCCAGTGCGCAAATTGACGACCGAGCAAGTGATTCCATTTTTGCAGAGTTCTTCTATTTCCTCGGCGTCGAGGTCGATCGGAGTGATTATTGGCTGGATGATCGAAATTCGCATATTGATCACGGAGATTGGAGCTTTTGCGTCAAGTTAGAGAAGCGTATTCCAGACGAAATATAATGGACTTAGGAAAGTTGACTTCAAAACGCGACATCGAATTCTAGAGTCCTAGAGTACCTGTCTGAAAAACAAGAGGGGGATACCCGGCAAGCGTTACCGGCAAGTTCCAGATATCATCTACAAAATTCAATCAGCTACTGTCACAATGCATGAATCACCGTCGTACAGCATAATTGGTTAAGTTATATGGCTCAGTTGCATAGTGCATACAAATCGATCCATCAAGGGACCTGCACCTGCGAATGCTGTAATGTAATACTCCGTAGTACTCCGTACATTGATACATTGATATGCAGTTGATTTCTCAATACCTTCAGCCAGCCTCCGGACCCACTAATTATTACAGATCTTGACACAAATGCCAAGTCTATGGGATATTTCCCCATTTTGTGGCGGCGTGGTTATGCAGATGGAGCTCTTCAATGCATTATATGCATGTAACATGTCGGCTAGATTGATCAGAATTTGTCCATCTATGAAAAGAACAAGTCACATTACATAGTAGGTGACTATTGACCAAAAGCAGATTGTCGGCGTTTCTATTTCTGGCTTGCGCTCTCATGACGTGGCATTTCAAGTCAGAGAGCTATTCATACTGCCGATCACAAAACTAACATTATGTACCACGTGTAGTTCGAGTCGATATCTCGTGTATATAAGGAAGAACTAGTCGGAGTCAAGTTTGGTTCATCAATTACACCCTTGATTCACTTTGCCTTCGAAAACACTACTCCAACATGACCCGGACATACGTCGAACCTGCCAACATCCCTGTCATTGACTTCAGGGCTCTTTCTTCTGAGAATGTTGAAGAGCGTAAAGATGCCTTGAACCAACTTGACGAAGCATTCCAAACATACGGGTTTATCTACCTGTCCAACCACGTCATTGGACAAAAGATGGTCGATGAAGCCTTGGCTTGGGTAGGGCTAATCCCTCAACAATTCAGTAATAACCGCTGACAACCAGCAGTCCAAGCGTTTCTTCCACCTACCAAACGAGGTCAAGAAGCTTTGCAAGCACAACACAGTTGCAGCTGACCACCGCGGCTGGGCAGCTGTCGGGACTGGCATCGTCAGCCAGGATGTCTGGGACAAGTCCGAGATTGAAGAGATGCGCAAGAGTGCACCAGTCGAGCAGAAGGAGATCCTTGAAATGGGTAACCCTCACTCGAAGGGTGGTCCAGGCGAGTCGATTGTAAACCGTCTACTCCCAGAGGACCAGTTCCCTGGATTCCGCGCTTTCCTCGAGAAGTGGTGGGATACTTGTTTCAACCAGCAACTCCTGATTCTGCGAGCACTTTGCGAAATCCTAGGATACACAGACCTTGACTATCTTGGAAAGCAGCAGGATCCTAGCCGCAGCCGCAATCATATGAGCTGGCTGTATTATCTCTCTCAGCCGGTCTCCCCGTTGAAGTCGGGTAAGAGCAACCGGTTGAACACACACACCGACTTTACACAGTTGACTCTGCTGTTCCAAGATATGGTGGGAGGCCTTGAGATTCATGATTACAAGGCAGGCATTTTCAGACCAGTGCTTCCTAAGGCTGGGACCATGATTGTGCACGTTGGAGACATGTTGGAGAAGCAGTCGAATGGCAAGTGGAAGAGCGCATTGCACCATGTCTCAGCTCCTATCCATCTTAAGTATGGGGATGAGACAACCGACGAAGACACCGTTGTTGAGCGTTTCTCTATGTCCTTTTATGGAACTCCTCAGCACGAGGTGATGATTGAGCCAATTCCAGGATGTGAGACGAAAGGAAAGTGGCGAACTTTGGAGTGGGAGCCGAACATGACTGCCGGTGCTTGGATTGAGAAGAGAGTTGCACTTGAGTACGGAGACGGACAACAAGCGCCTCCAGTTGTTGCTGCTGCATAGATACGAACTGCAGGTGCTCTCTTTCGGTTTCATTATAGGCTTTGGCCTGGTTTCTCTATGATTTCAATCTTTAGCTGAATATAAATGAGATTCAATATCAGTGAAAATTCATGAAGCGACACTTCAAATATAGAAAAGTCATTTCCACAAATTAAAAAATTAAAAAAGTCTGAATCGACCTAGTCCACCTTCAAGTATAATAGATGAAATATGTTTCTATCTAATCCTACGATGAACGTCACTCGAATATTACAAGCTGAAGTCTTCCTTTCGACGCTCATTCACAGACTCGATTTTTTACTGCGAAAATATATGCAAACGTCCAATGAAATACATATATTGTTTCAATATCCCATACTTGTGAGGAAGCGTGGGGTATTTCCCGAGGCCGTGCCCCTGAAAATGCGGGTCGGATCGGGCTTGCCGTGATCAGCATCCAATGCATACTGTGACGTGCTCGCTATGATACTCCGCGGAAAATAGCGCTTTTCAAGGTTTTCCATGTTAGAGGCGGTGTAAAATTGGATCAGCAGGAGACATACACTTGAGCAGAAAAGAAGAATTTTGGTGGCTAGCTGAGCCTACCTGGAACAACTTTCCGTGCATGCTGCATCTTGATCGGCTCCCTAACCCCTTGTTGTACTACATCTAGATCGATCTACCAGCAAGCCATTCATCGCCATCACGTAAAATGATGTGCAAAGGCTAAACTACCACTGGCTGTTAGAGCTGTGCATTGCTCGTGCATCTATGCAGGTAGTCAACTCGAATGCTGGCGCCATTTCCGCTAGCCTCGTCCCTTATGCACCCCACTATGCCCAGCTATTCTCCTTGGCTTAGTTTGACACATCTGAACTTGAGGGAAATGGCCCGAATGAGCCTGTAGATGATAGATCTGTGTGATCATGCAGGCTCTTTGCAAGCATGCAGCACTCGAAACAATCTTACAACTCAACTATAACCGTTCTCAGATGTACAGGTGGCGAATACGGGATCCTAGGATGGATTGATCTCATTCTGGCTTCAATTGCGAGAGAAGAGCTTACGAGTCCATGCCATATGTATCAGGTACATACTCCGTATGTGTGCACGCACCTATGGATCTGGAGCTGCCCAGTACATCTCGATCTTGTGAAACTTGTCTTCCGACCCTGCATGTATTCAGCCGCGGAGAGCTCTATGGTTGCACTACAGACAATAGCTTCTCTAGGATGTCCCTGGCAAAGACATTTTGCCTGAGAGGTACCTGAATTGGATGGGAAAAACTGGAAAGCTCGTGATGATCTTCTGGAAAGCTATTGGTTACACTCAATGTTCTAACATTGAATGCTTGCAGCATGGCATGTGATCTGCAAATTCTGGTACGCATCTATATTTGGTACCCTGCGTCAATTGACGAACATACTCTGACGCTTCCTATTAGGGCTTGTGTCGTAGCAGCGGACATTCTTGCAGTTCGATAAAATCCAGAACCGTATTCATGTAACGTCCAGATGTATGCCAGCTAATAAATGTAATTATACGTCCTCGCAAAATCGCTCGAACTTTCGTTATTTCAATGTCAGAGACTCCATACTTCACTTTAAATTCCTCTCTCTGGATTATGCCTATACCAACGAATATCGCAAATCTTCTGATCGGAGGGGATTCTAAGCTTTCGATTCACTTCGAAGAAATTCCTTTCCACGACGATGGAGCTCGCAATGGCTCCAGGTTCTATATGCTTTCCACGAACCATGCCCTGAAAGACCATGAGGAAAGAGACGACGATGTCAGATATCTGTCCAAAGGCAAACAAGGTGCCACTAAGCTGGCCCAGCTGCTTAATGCCCCTCGTATCACAAACGAAAAAGGGAATCCAGCCCAAGAGGACGAGAAAGCTGTTGTGCGGCTTGGAAGAACCGCCATGGTTGTCGACGAGACATTTGACGCGCAACCTATCCACAGTCACATCTGGAACTCCTTCATGTCCGTTGAATTCCGCTTCCCGAAAGCAGACTTCACGTCTCTACAATATCTACAAACTTCTTGGAAGGGACTCGAATCCGGCGATACACTCTTCACCAAGGAGGGAACGCCAACCTTCGAGGAAGTATCCATCGTTTCCGGAGTGTGTCTATTTAATGCAAGACTTTTGGCAATGAGTGCAACGAGCCCAAAAACTGGTGACGTTGACATTCCTCTCCTCAGAGACTCAATCCCTACATACAACGAATTGGATTATATTGCGCGCTCGTCAAGCGCCATCGCCGATGTCGCTGCCATGAACATCTCAAGAGCTCGCGAGCAGGGGTCTGAGCAGCGAATTAATATAAAGCTCGACATCCCTAGCTGGCACTACTTCCACTCGGTAGCCACGAAGTTTGCGTTGAAGCAATGCTCGAATACCCAAGCCTTGGACTGGATGGACGCGGTTGACCAACGACACGATCAGATGGGACAAGTCTTTGTGGAGACCATAAAGGATGAGCTTGAGCAACGGGGCATTCATGACAGCACCAGCTATGTTGTTGGCATCACATCAAGGACTAATCCAGCTGCCCTCATGATTCGAAGATCACTTGAGCACGGAGAAGTCCCCTCCTTGGAGGCCATTCTCGCCGCCTTGGACTCTGAAAAGGACGGGTGCTGGAAGCGATTCTACGAGATGATTCCCCTCAAGGAACGACCCACGAACCTTGACCAGCTGGGCTATCTTTACTACGTATATGAAGCCATCCAGCCGTCTCTCGTGGAACGCCAAGCTGAACCGATACGCCTGACATCCAACCAAACCAAGAAAGTCAATTTGTCAAAAAAGGCATTGAAGAAGCGAAAGCCTCGCCGCTTGATCATCAGCATTGATGACTCTGCAGAACGCCGCATTTACTCCCGAGCTCAAAGGATACTCAGCAAGATCCGACAGTGTAGCGAGAAGCCGGAGACTTTTTTGGTAGAGTCATATGTCTGTAGGAGATTTTTGATTAATGGGAATGAGGATAGAGCACGACTAGGCCGGCTAGATCCTATCCCTGATGTTCCAGCTCATACCGATCTACACCATGAGATTGTTCTACCCTACGATGCTGTACGGAATCTGTATGGAGATGATTGTGCTCTCAATTTACAGAAGCGGCTTCGGGAAGTGGGCCTTTGAAGGGAATGGAATGAATCAACATATTTCGGGGCTCAGAAATCCAATGTAGCAAACCTCTAGCCTAAGATCACTGGTACCACACTACTAACTACGTACCATCCAAACATACTCGCGATACGTTCAAAACACGAGGATAGGGCGCCATTGGCCCAAAAAGGAAACCCCGGGAGAGCCCCAATATCAAACTCAAATCACCTTCGCGCGCACACCTGAGCATCGCTTGCTTTGTACTATTGATTCCGATCAGGCCAGTGTTAGGGTCAGCAGCATCATTCGTTGATTGAATAAATCACAAAATAACCTCCCTGCTCATTTGTGTGAGCTCACGACGCTAGTAGGGTCGGACGGGATATTGATGCGCTCTTGCATTACGGCTCAGAGCTGCCCAGGAGAAGACCGCAGATGCATGTTTGATGTCGAGACGCGAAATAGAATACCAGCCGTAAATGTCGTGATTACGGGGAACTATGCGGAGTAGTGACCTGGTGTCAGGACTTGCATTATGCATTTGTGATGCATGTAGGGGTTGAATGATATTTATGAATTTCTAACCAAAGCGCATCAATGTTTCAAAAAAGGTATAAGCAGAGTAAACTTATTCTGACTTGACAAAACCCCACAAACATTGAAATCGGATCATACACAGAGAGGGACCAAGTAGTACATAATCTATGGGAATTTGAACGGTACCTACATCTATGGATGAAGCAGTCAGGCACGGCGACTCTCGGTCGATATTACGTGGGGTGCATCTGCTGTATATCCGTCTGCTATGTGACTTCTACTATTTGAATACATGTAATATGTACTCCGTACCTGAGGTGCAACATTCGGGGAACAACCTGCATAAAATATGCAATATCTACTGCTGTCATGCCAGCGCGAGAACTCGTGCATGCACGCCACCAATATTAAATACGGTCTTCTTTTAAATTCCTATGTATCTAAAATTAAATACATAGAAAGAAGTGAGCGATATATTGGTAATTGATGAACAATGATTATTGATATGGGTATTACTGCCAATATAGCTTGTGGTGTGCACACGAGTCATTTTCTCGCGCTGGCATCTCAGCGTATATACCATCTCCATCACATCACATATGCCGATATATCCACGATGTATCAGCCAAATGGCCCCGCAATCATTGGTGATGCATCCTAACCCATCGATCTCCTTGTACTACACCGTCTTTCGACGTGTCTGACTATGCAGATCTTCAGCTTGGGAAGAAAGTAATCAGGCCAGCCACGTAGAGTACTTTAGCTCTATCCTGCGCAGATTGCTTTTTTCTCTATTTAAAACCGTCGTGTTCGATAATTGCTCATGCTTTCCAAAGCCATCTGATACCCTTTTCAACTTCATTCCCATCAGCCACGGTAAAAGGTCGAAATGGTCGGAATCCAAGTTGTGGAACCCGCAGAAGTCCCTGTGATTGACTTCCGAACCCTCTCGGCTGGCACTCCACAACAGCGCAAGGATGCTCTTCAGCAACTAGACGATGCATTCCAGTCGGTTGGACTTATATATCTTTCTAACCATAGCATTGGTCAAGATCTCGTAAAAGAGGCATTCTCATGGGTACTGTGCTTTATCTTCCACCTTTATACTCTACTTTTGCTAACTCATTGTAGTCCAAACGCTTCTTTGATCTACCGGATGATGTGAAAGCACTAGTTCAGCATCCTCACGACATATCTAACCACCGTGGCTGGGCGGCTGCTGGTACCACTGTCTCCAGCCAAGGTGTTTGGGACCAAGATGAAATCGAGCGCATACGCAAAACTGGTCCAGCGGAGAAGAGAGAAGTTTTGGAAACGGGAGATCCATACCCAAGCAAGATACCAAACCCTAGCTTCATACCGAATCGAGTACTTCCGGAAGAAATCTTACCCGGATTCGAAGCCTTCACCAAGAAGTGGTGGGATGCGTGTATAGAGCAAGAGCTTCAACTTCTCCAGTACCTCTGTGAGATTCTTGGTATTCCGGACAAAGATTTCCTTGGAAAGCAGCAAGCTCCGCACTTCAATCGCAGCGCATTCGGCTGGAACCATTATCTATCTTTGCCGGCTCGATCCCTAGCAGCTGGAGATTCGACTCGCTTGAATGCCCATACAGACTATGGGCAGTTCACTTTGCTGTTTCAAGATATGTCTGGTGGACTCGAGCTTGAGGATGAAGAGGCCGGAATCTTCCGGCCGGTGCTCCCCAAGCCGGGTACAGTTATCGTCCAAGTTGCCGATATGCTGGAAAGACAGTCCAACGGGAGGTGGAAAAGCTCCTTGCATCAGGTCTCAACTCCTCATCATTTGAAGTACAGCGATGTGGGTGATACTACGTTGATTGAGCGATATTCAATTGGCTTTTTTATTCAACCCGACTTTGATCTGGTTATCAAACCTCTTCCGGGTTGCGAGGTTAAAGGCAGATGGTCATCCTTGGAGTGGGAGGATGAAATCACTGCTGGAGACTGGCTGAACAGGAGAGTTGCTCTGGAATACCAACGCAAAGACTCATCTAAGTCTGCTGCGTAGTCGGAGAACGCCCTTCCCATTCACGGCCTTTTTGGACCACAGTTTAGAAATAAACATTAAATTTATTTCGGGTTTCATAATAGCTAGCTTGTGGTATCATACCTGATTGAATCTCTCTTTTCGACCGGGTTTGTAAGACCGCCAGGCTGAGGTATCTCGATGTCCTGCAACGGCTTTACATGTAGGGTATTTCCACCAACATGGTCTGGACACCAAGTGGCTGCCAAATAGAGCCATGAGAAGCAGGTGGATGATACTGATTTTAGGCCGCGCGACGGTTTCCTAGTTAAGGCATGCATGCCAGCTTTAGCGCTATACACCGTCCTCCGCGATCAAATATTGCACCTACCTTCAGTACTCACTTTTCTTAAATATCACCAAGGGGTAAACTGAACTTTATGGTTGGGTTATCCTAAAGTAAGCAATCGTTGAAACTATCTTACGATTCGTGCATTACTCGCTACAAAAGCCGGCAAAAATTACCCCAACTAAAGTACATTCGGTTACGGGATAAGCGCTAAAAAATATGACACATTAAGGGGCTCGATGATAAACGGGTGTGCTTTGAGGGGCCGAAACTCATTAATAGAGACCACAGCTTAGGTTCCTTGCGACATATCCCCCACCGTCCACATATCCGGGGTGCTATGATATGTGAACATGTCTGGGAGGTTGCCCTTCATCACACTGTTAATTATCGGGGCTGATGGTGTTGGGAAAACAGCGCTAGCTAAGCGGGTTTGTCATTCACCTATCCTAACGCCCTCAGGCTCGTTTTAACCGAAGGCGTTTCTAGCTTTGTCCACAGGAGTTTACCTATGATCCAACACTTGGTGATTCCTGTTCGGCAATGGTAGCTGTTGATGGCTGGACTTGTATGGTTGACATCTTGACGACTTCGGGAATGGAAGAATACACCGCCCTCTACGAAAATTTTATACGTGACGCGAGTGCCTTCATTCTTGCGTACAGCGTGACTTCGCGGACGTCCTTTTCTGATATACAGGCCCACGACAATTGGATTAAGAAGATTAAGGAGGAGATGAGGGTTGCTGGGCCTCCAACAACGTATCCTTCATACCCTCTGTACAATTCGGTCGTCATTTTGGTCGGTACCAAGAATGACTTGGAAGCCCAGCGCGAAGTCTCGGTTGAAGAAGGCCAAATGCTTGCAAAGTCATTGAACTGTTCGTTCTTCGAAACATCTGCAAAGCAAAACACAGATGTGGAGAAGGCGTTGCATGATATTCTGAGAGGCTTTCGACAAAAAAATTTTCCTACTCCTAGTGAACCTGAAACACCGACTCCTTCACGATCGAGGAAAGGTTTAGGGAGATTGTTGGGACCAAGGCAACGAAAGAATGATAATGGGTCAGGATGCGTTGTTATGTGATCGATTAGTTCATGCGATATATAATCGGGGATTGGCCTGGCTTTGACATGTAAATAGCGAGTTCGCGGGCCCATAACCAGTTTGAATCTACGCTAGCAGATGGGATGAAGCAATAAAGTTATGTATCAGAAGTTTTTGAACTATGAAAGAAAAGTTAGATTTAAGTCTATGAGTCTAATTATATGACGATGGGGAGATATCAACAAGTGCCGCGCTTATATACATTCACTATGTAAAAGTATATAGCAAGTAACCACACAGAAGTTGTCTACTCCTCCGGGGCACCTCTCTCTTCCATCTTCTTAGAAGCTCTCTGCTTCCCGCCCTCCGTCACTCTCGGATTATGCTGCGCGCTATACGGACCAGTTAGTAGACATTGAAAAGTTCCCCTTGAGGTCATACTAACGCCTTAAGCCCAGCTGAGACCCTCGTTGGGTTTTTGTTTTCGGCTTCTGCCTGGTATCTTTCCTCGCGAGCCTGATCACCGCCGAGCTCATTGAGCATGTCTTGTGCATGCTGCTTTGCCTCTGGTGAAACCTTCCGGTTGCTCATCGCGCTGTAAAAAATAGCCTTAGTCCTTACATCTCGTGATGCTTTATTCCTGGAATTTAATACTTACGCCTTGTAGCCACGCATCTCGTTATCTTCTCTCGGCATATTGGTCTAGATGGGTGATCGTTTCAGGTGAGGATTGTTTAGGTGAGTAATCGTTTAACGAAGTCTAGCCCTATTTTCGACGGATAATCCTTCTGCTTAAATGTTTTACAATCATCAGCGGCGTCACATATCATTTCTCCGTCACTACACCCTGCGGCGAGTTGTTCGCCGTTATGATATAATTATGATGTCCCGTGATCGCACCTTGGGTAAAGAGGATAGACCTCCATCCTATTATATGGCCGTGGCGTTAGGGTAAGAACCTGTTCAGTTTTCAAGTTGCCATCAATTCTTTGCTAAAGATAAAGGTTGAATCGGGTGGCTGAAAGCAGACTGGAAGGCCTTCAATTACAGCCTCGCCACGGGAAGACGTTCTGCATATGATATATTTCTTGGATATAGAGACTGGGGCGATGTAACGTCTGGGAGCACAACCTAAGTACTTACTGAGCAGGACCCTGAACGCCCTCATAAAGCGGCGGCACCCCGATTAGGGGATTGGCATCCACGGGCTAAAACCCGGTGCATACTGCTACACATACACCGGATTTTAGCCCGCGCGACATGGCTTTGCCTTTGCGTTGAGTGCTCACCCCTTGCCGCCTTTTGCCGCCCGGTATAATGGCTGCACCGCTCGAGGCGATGCCTTGGAGCACCAAACATGATGAGGGCACGCACGCTTTAAGTATGTATACGAATCCTTCAAATCCGATGCAACAGCCCATCAACAAACACCTCGAAAACAGTGACGGGATGAGGCTGCTCTGAGTGCTTGAATACTCTAACTCGGGCGATCAGTGGTTATCCAGCCATAGGTGGTAGATCTCGAAGGATTAGTTAAGACATGGATGCACCACTTGATGGTAATTTTAAGAGTAGTACTCCGTACCTATAGATGTACTATTTGTTGCCGTGGTCTATAAAACCTAATTATTTCTCTTCTGCGTGATTGCCGGTTTCAATGCAAAAGTCCATGCACGAATGATGTCAAGACTCCCGAGATCTTTAAATTTACGGAATGGCTGGACCACAGTTCTCATTGGGTCAAGGTAGCCAAGCAAGCGTATGATTGGCTTTCATATCCCTATCAAGGACCCACGAACGTCTCTAGAACCAAATTTGGAAGCTCTAGAAGATCCGTAGCTGATGACGATAGGTTTTATGTCCGCATTTTGTCCTACTCCTACGATCTCGTACTGAAATACTGATACATAATTTGAGCCATATCATTGAGCCGTATCCAAACGCTCTGGCCTTTGAAGAATCCAATCCACATCGTCAATATGGATTGGACCGCTCTGGAGAAATATAAGGTTGACCTGGGTAGTTACGACTCACTCTACCGAGAATTCCATCAGAATCCGGAAATCTCAACCCTCGAACATGAAACTGCAGAGAAGATCGCAGCCCATTTGAAGAGCTTGTCCTCGGATTTGGATATTCGCACGGGAATCGGTGGCACCGGTCTCATCGCCATCTGCAAAAATGGAACGGGTCCGACGGTCCTGCTTCGAGCCGACATGGATGGACTGCCTATTCACGAGGAGACGGGGCTGGATTACGCATCGACGAAAACAATGAAGGACACGCAATTAGATAACGCCATCAAGCCCGTGATGCACGCATGTGGCCACGATTTTCACATTACTTGCAATTTGGGTGCGGCCGAGACCCTACTCAAAGCGAGGGATATATGGTCGGGTACTGTCATTTTCCTCTTTCAGCCAGCCGAGGAACGCGGGTGCGGTGCCCAGGCAATGGTTGATGATGGCCTATTTGATCCGAAGAAGCATGCTTGCCCGATCCCCGACATTTTTCTTGGACAGCATATCTTCCCCTTGGAGCCTGGGTGTATTATCAGCAAATCCGGGTCATTCCTGGCTGCAGCTGACAGTCTACGGATCACTGTCTTTGGTCAAGGCGGCCACGGTAGCATGCCTCACCGATGTGTCGACCCTGTCGTCCTCGCCTCGTCCATTGTGATGAAACTGCAAACGATTGTGAGCCGCGAGATTGACCCCGAGGAAGTCGCCGTGGTGACGGTCGGCAGCTTGAAGGCCGGTGACACCGTCAACGTGATTGGTGATGAGGCTGTCCTGCAACTGAATATCAGGAGCATGAGTAACGAGACGAGACATTCGGCTCTGGATGCAGTGAAGCGGATTGTGAAGGCCGAATGCGAGGCTTTCAGGTCCCCGAAGGAGCCGGTATTCGAAACACTCAATGCTTACCCTCCAACGTTGAACGATCAAGAAGCCACGGATACGATTCAAAAATCGTTCACTGAATGCTTTGGCCACAAACATCATAGGGTGAGTAGGGCGATCCCCGGCAGTGAGGACTTCCCGAATTTAGCCACAGCAGTCGACAAACCCTATGTTTTCTGGGGTTGGAGCGGCTCTGACGAGAAGATCTGGGCCAAGCACGAACGAGAAGGCACATTAGATCAACTCCCTTTCAACCACTCGCATCTTTTCGCCCCAGCGATCCATCCGACTTTGGGAAATGGCATTGACGCGATGGTTGTGGCAGCGCTGAGCTTTGTGACTACTTAGGGATACAACTGAGGGATACAACTGTTTATAACTTGATTTAGCAGATAAGATTAAGTTAGCATTTGATAGGCCCCGGGACTATATGGCTGCTTACTATGTATAATTAAGTGCCCAGGTGGCCCCCAGGCGCAGTTTATCCTCCACGGATCACTACATAATCATATGTAGCCCTGGAGGTGTGATGGACCCCTGTCACCTTTAAGCGAGGAGAAAACCGATCACTCTTCGTCTTCCTACATTTTTGTCTCTATCTCCTCTAGTCTTTGGTGAACCCAAGAACTTCGATTTCTATACAGTGAAATTTTGAATATTTGAAATCTCCCACCGAGATCATTTCGACCCGTGGCCCCTTTTTATCTTACTACGCGACTTCATCTTCCAGTACCCTCTCCGACCTCATAATTCCTTTGAACATAACTGGCAAAGTTGAATTCGATGTGGCGATGGACACCGATCACCTTTACTACTTCCAGAAAACCCAGGGGAGCACTTTCATGGTGCATGAGGGGTCTAAACTATGTTGCTCGCAACAAATCTGGTTATATAAGTTATATTCATATCGCTAACAGCAATCTTAAATGTTCAGTTCATGTTAACAGTGCGGGGCTCAGATCTGGCCCCCAAATATTACGAATAAAACGATTAGTGGATAAATTATGAGATTAGGCAGATTTGGATAAGCATGTATACTCTCCAGGGCTCTCATCGCGCCTTAACTTCAGTCAACAAGCGAAAGATCCACCAATTTCCCTTTCGTCCGCGGAGTGACTTCCCCCACTTCTCTGTTTATAAGCCCCATTCCCCCTTCAAATTCAAACTCCCAAGAAATTTGATCTTATAATCATATTCTTGCATTATGACCGCCACCGAGACTCAGGATGCTTTTAAGCCATATGATCAGTTTCTTCTCTTCGGAGACTCCATCACACAAATGGCCTGCAACCAAGAACTAGGTTTCGCGTTTCATGCTGCACTCCAAGAATGTGAGTCATTCTTCTGATATCTCTAGAGATTTGCATAGCAAATAAGCTAACGAAAAAAAAAAGCCTACAGTCGCAGATTGGATGTTGTCAATCGCGGTCTCGCGTAAGATAATCCGAGGTTATACTAGAGTGCCATATGCTAACATGTAATAGTGGATATACAACCGCGCATGCTGTCAAGGTCTTTGATAAATTCTTTCCTTCACCGCAGACCGCTAATGTGCGGTTCATGGTAAGCTCCCCTTATCGGCCGCTCCATTTGAAAAATTGAAATCTCGAATGTATCCAAAAGACCAATTAACGAACATCTGATAGACTATTTTCTTCGGTGCCAATGATGCATGCGTTCCAGCCCACGACCAGCATGTGCCATTGGATCAATACAAAGAGAACCTGAAGACGATCATTCAGCACCCAGCGACACGCGCACAAAACCCGCGACTCATTCTAATCAGCCCACCTCCCGTCAATGAATATCAAATGGAGAGCTTCGACGCTGAAAAGGGCTGCCCGTTCCCAAGCAGAACTGCCAGCTACACCAAGACTTATGCAGCGGCTGCGCGAGAAGTTGGTGCAGCGCTTAATATCCCCGTGGTGGATTTATGGACTGCCTTCATGAAGACCACTGGTTGGAAGGAGGGAGAACCTCTGATTGGAAGCCGTGATGCACCGGACAATGAGAAATTGTCTAGTCTTCTTACTGATGGTGAGTGGAAATGTGCATATTCCCCTTTTTCTTGTACTAACTTGTCATACAGGTCTGCATCTCACTCCCTCCGGTAACCGCATCGTCTATGAAGAGCTTATGAAGGTAGTCGAGGCCAATTGGCCCGATCAGACTCCCGAGGCTCTTCCAATGGTGTTCCCCTCGTGGGGTGAGGCGCCGAAATGAGTTGTCTAGATCATAGATTGGGTTCTTAAGCTCGGTATAAGGAGGAACTAGCACTAATCCTATTTATCAAGATAGATATGAGCAATGAAGAATTCTCGAACTTACATGTGCAACTATAAATACCGGACTTTCGCGCATAAATGAGATTCCCACTGGGTTCTGGTGAATTAAGAGATAAATCTCGAGCTGCCTATGTAATCCTGTGGAATGGGACTAGAACAAGGTTGGCAGAAGAAGTTTTTTAGTTCCATTTTGTCATCTCAAACTCCCAAAATATCACTCTGGCTCCAATAAGCCAGGAGTAAGCCATTATCTTTCCATCTCCTGAGAGCCTTGCTCTTCCACGCCTCCCACTCCTTGTCTTCGAAGTCAAAGGCACGATGGAGGCCTGTGAATAAACGTTGAAGTGTCTATATGTCTATGAAAAATCTTTGTGATGATGGGTGTAACCTCTTGACAAGAGTAAAGATAAACTGAATGGACAAAGACAATCTATTAAGCAGGCGGTGTACAAGAGTAAGTCTCCCACGTTCTAGGCACCATACTCAACTATCAACATATTGAATTGTTTGGATCGCCAATTTTGTCAGGAAGGTTGAAAGTGATCTGAAAAATATCAGGTACATTGTAGTGCATAGAATAGGAGTGGAGCATACAGAATATGACAGCAGTCTATAGCCAGTCTAGCCCGTCTGTCCTTTTGACCTCCACTTTACTCTCCGCCTTATTGCGTCACCGCCTACCAGATAGAGTGCCCTTTGGTTACAATGGGTTCTCTCCGAACTACGCTCACTCATAATCATCTTCTCCTAGGTTTGTTACCTAGACCAATTTTCCCTTGAATCTATCATCCTCTCCAAGCCTCCATAATTGAAAATCTCCAATCTTGGGTCACTTTGCTCTCGGTTTCGCGCCGCTTCGCTCGCACTTCGACAGCCAAATAACCCGTGACGCAACTTGTGTCTGGTGCATCACGTATCGCACGCTACCAAATACCTCGTCGCGTCTTTTTGTGAACTTGGAATCGTCTGTGAATCGCCTCCAACCCAACAAGAATCTCTCCTTACGATACCGATCATCTTGAAACGCGTCCCCTTCACCTGTGGCAATACCCTCGTCTATCTTTCCTAGACTCCTGGATGTTCTGATCAGGTCCCAGATATTTGTCCTTCGAAGACAGGGTGGACGGCCGGTGGGCCGTCTCACAGATCGAAGGCGGAAGGAGATATTGGAGAAAAAGTGTCGAATTCAAGTGAGGCCTTTCGCGCCCCTGCTCTTAGGGTGGACTATTTCAACTACCCCGCGTCAATTTCTTTGCTTTCTTTTTTTGACCTTGAATTCTGAATAATCCACTGGCTATGGACGCGCAGTACCCCTTTGCTTCCCGTGACGACATTTGGCGTGTCTTTGACGAGTTGAAGGAGCTCCACATTGCGCAGTACGAGCAAGGCGAACGGCTCGCGCAACTGGAGCGTCGCCGGGACGACGATGCCCGACTGAGGAGCCCTTGGTGTTCTGTCTCGCCATTTCCGCATTCGGTTGGGGCAATCGCTCCAGGTAGTCCACCTCTGCCCTCCGGTATCAGCTCGCCACTTACCAAGACATCCCTTCCAGACCCCGCTTTCCACTCCCCCCGGATGCTTTCAAAGGATTCGATCAGGGTCACCATTCTGCAATGACTAGTTCTGTTGTGGGGTTTGATGGCGAGGATGAGCCCAGACGGGGCGCATCGCGAGCCAACAGTGTTCGTTTTGATGAAAGTGCCATCCACGGGAACGCCCAGGCTAGCCGTTCGAGCAATGACCTTCCTTTGCGGACTGGTAGCAGCTTGAGTACTCACCCGCTTCTTGAGAGGACATTTTCCCACCAATCTGACGGACGATTGAGCTCATCCGGTCACTCGCACCATTCCGCTAGGACTAATAGCCTGCGCCTGAACACCACCCGGCTGCTTGGTACTACGCCTATCGAGTCCCCTTTGATTCCCCCTCCTGGACTCTTCTTGCTGGGGCCGGTCCCATCCATCATTCGGTGCTGGTTGACTGATTCTTTCACTAACGACTCTCTCCTGTATGCAGCCGTTTGCTCGGGCTCTTACGTCTCAACTTTGGGTCTCTCCATGGTCCGCGATTTCGGGATGGAGAACATGATCGTGCACGAAGGCGATGTGCAGTACATCAAACTTCCGCTCTATCTCCCTGAGGCACTCATTCACCCATCTTCATCGCGCCCCGGAACCCCTACTCACCAAGTCCCTTCCTTGACCATCCGCTTCGTGGTTCGGGAGACCGAAGTCGGCAATAACTCGATTCAAATCATCATTGGAAGCGATGTGATGCGCGCCCACAATGCTGATATTTTGTTCTCGCAAGATAAATTGATCATGGTGGACGATGACCACAACCGTGTATCTGTCCCCCTCGTGCGTCCAGAGAAGGAATCCGTGTTCAAATCCCTTTGCACCTCCCCTGGTACACCCCATTCTGGCGACATACTGGGACCTCCTATTAACGGACATCAATCCGTTGGTATCATTGGCCGGCCTGTCAATGTTCAACAAAAGCCTGTCTCTACGCCTCCATCAGCTCGTCTGCCTGGCAGCGAGAATAACGATCCTCACAAGTCCCACCTAGAGAACCAGCAGGCTCATGCTCACAATTCAGCTGAAATTCACCCAGCCACTGCCAAGTCACCGACTTCTGACCCTACCAAAACCGAGGATACGCCTTCGTGGGGCGGCCCATGGCGTCGTGATGCCAAGAAATCCGCCACCACTACCAAAAAGGCCAGCGATAAACGTGAGATGAAAGTCTTCCGAAAGTCCAGCAGCCATGCGAACTCTTCGACTTCGGCTTCGGCTCCTGGCAGTGTTACCGCTGAGCAGGCCGACAGGCCGTCTCAGCCGAGTGCTTCTGCCCACCACCCAAATACTCCTTCGGACAAGCATGGTACGCTGAACCCCGTTGGTAGTGCATCGGCGTTTGGATGGCTCAACCCGGCCCCTCGCAACGCCTCGTCCTAGATGAAATACACTAGGCTTGGCATTTATGTTTGATTACATCCGAATCTGAAATGAGCTCGGTTTTACGACATGATATGGAAGGGTTTCAATTCTCTTGGAATCAAGAAAAAAGTGATAATGGGATCAGGCGCTGGGTTCCGAAGCTGCCAACTGGGAAAATCACGTTCTCTTTTTAGCTTGTATCATTGCCGGAATTGACAGCAACGGACATGACATACTTAGTACCAAAAAATGAGAAAAAAATGTTATGATTACCACTTAATTTCTATGGCCAATATCATCTAGTGCATCTCAGTATATAAGCCTCCTCGTCCGTGCCCTGGTGCCTGGGCAGTCCCACCTGCACTAGTCAATATTAGTAATCAGTAGATGGAGCCTTGGAGCCCTGGAGCCTTGGAGCTATCCCTAACTAAAGCAAGCCTTCTGGGGCTGGAGCATGTAGTGCAAATTAAAAAAATTCACCATGATAAAAAGAGGTAGGCCACCTTTCTGGCAAGATCAATGCCTTCTTTTTCACGCTTCCATTTAACGTCACTATCCAATTTTCTGGAAGTGACCCAGTGCCAAAACCAGAACCATTGCTCCTCGAGAGCGACATTGAAGAATAATGGCACGTCTGTTGGATCTTCCAGCGGAAGTGATTCTATCCATTGCTGAATACCTACAAATCGACACGAAGCAGGCACCGCTGCAATTCTATGAATATGGAGATGCCTATGGCTACGTGAAAGACCATGATCCTCCACCGAGCGTCAGAAACCTCCATTCTTTCCTGCTCGCCGCCAATCGCCCCTATAGTCGTTTTCTCCAGGAAATGTTCTATCGCGATGTATTTGTCCCGGGCCGTCTTAATCACAGCGAAAAGGGTGCCAAAAATTGTCCGCTGCAACTGCTAGACCGGACTCTTAAGGAGGATCCGAGTCTCCAGGAACACATCATTTCAGCGACCATTCCATGTGAAGATTCTATTCATTTCGGTCAATTCTTTTGGTTCACCAACATACGAGAGCTTACCATCATTGGTTCGTACACGGGCGATTGGGATCCTTCGTTTGAAGGCGACTCACATATTGGCACTTCACCCGTCGAATGTTTAAGGCTGATCAGTTGTGAAGCGGACGAGGAGGCTCTAACCACTATATTCAGCTGGCCGGCAGCGTTGAAAAAGTTCACTTCGATGTTGAACAAGGCGCATGGTATTGCAGTTGCGGGAACTGCGGAATCCCGCCGTGGTCATGTGCTGCATTTGTGCGCTCACTGAAATCCCAAAAGGCATCATTGGAGGAATTGACAATGACACGGACGCCGATTGTGCATAGAGGACTGGGGGATGGACCTCACATTGACTTGACCGAGTTCACGGCTCTTAAAACTCTGCGCATTTACCACGTCTTTCTCTGCGGGGAGGGACATCCCGAGCCCTGGCAAAGCTTACCTCGCAGTCTGGTGGTGTTGGAGGTCTATTACGACGATTTACGGATCGGCGAGTACTTGTCGGGGGCTGATCGAGCGCCGCTCGATCATTTTATTCCTAAATTAATCCAGCATAAGAGGTCGCATCTTCCAAATTTACACACTATGATCGTCCACTCGTCTGAAGGAACCTCTGACCCGGAGCTATCGACATCTAGCGATTGGACTGTCGGACTCTGGGAGGTGCCACCTTTGCTTGCGCAAGTATGTGACGAAGCTGGTGTGAAGTTGAATGTATGGCTGGGAAGTGAAGAGGGTCTCAAGTTTGATGAGGAAGATGATATTCTTCGGTCACTGAAAAGGAGCCAAAGCAAACATCCTATTCCTCCAAGCAACAAAGTGGCTCGAGATCAGTATATATCAGACTTAATTCTCTCCTAGGATCTCTAGTATGGATAATCAAGTACTATGCGTTATTCTAAACCAAATCTGATCAACTCAAATCTTCGAAAAAACACCCAAAGCCCCCTTTGTGCTCTCTTTAGTCTCCTTAACAAGCCCACTAACAGCCCGGAACGCCTCGTGCGAAGCATCACCAAGAATCTCAAAAAGCACACTCTCACTACTCGTAACAACAGCTCCAGCATCCCTCAGTCTAGCAAGCGCAATCCCCCTCTCCTCGGGGTTAATACTGCTAACGCCATCGACGAGGATGTAAACGCGGTGACCGCGCTCGAGGAGATCGAGCGTCGTCTGCGTCACGCAAATGTGCGTCTCGATTCCGACGATTATCACATCGAGCGGGGTTGAGCCTGGGGCTGGGAGTAGCTTCTCAATTTCCGGGGTTATCATTGAGAAGAGGGTTTTGTCTACATCAGCTCGGATATGTGGGCCGTTGAGGTGTTGCTGGAGTTCTGGCACGGTGTTGCCGAGTTTGGCGCGGCTTTGGGTTGTTACGAATACGGGGAGTTGGAGAGACGAGGCTGCGCGGAGCATTTTTTCTGTCGTTGAGACGCTAATTGGTTGGTTAGACTTTTGGTTTCAGTATGTGGTTTCGGGATATTGTTGGATTCGTACACTTTGGTGAACTCGTAGATTCCACCGCGGAATTTGTCTTGGATATCGCAGATGCTGTCGTAGGAACGGGTAATTAGTTTTGATCTTGAGGCTATCTCTGTTTTATATCGGGTGTTTTGCATACAAGAGCGCGGGATTGCCTGGCTCAATGTTAGTGATTTGCATTGCGTTGAGATTCGAGGGTTTCTTACGGATTCGAGATGCACGCGTGGGGGTAGCCATGATTGCGAGAGTTAGGTAGTTTAATGTGAGAATTGAGGGATTCGAGTAGATGTAGAAGAAGAGAAGAAAAGAAGAATTCGCGGGGGGAAATCAGAGAAGTCGGAGATGCGGGGAAGCCGAGGGAATATGTCGGTATACTTGATATTTCTGTTTTTTGATCTTTTGTAACATTCAATTATGGTCAAACTTTTGCTCGCGTATGTACACATATCTACTAATCTAGGTATTTATAGCTTCACCTCATGAACCTTGGCCCGGCCGGCAAACCAGCTGTCATCACCGTTTGCCGCGGCTGTGCGGATGGCGTAAAGCTCGTCGACGAATGCCGGGACGAAGCTGCCTGGGCCGCGAACATACTCTTTGGCTGCTGCGTTCTCTGCTGCGATCTCGTACATGAGAATTCCAGACAGCACTGCGAGGAGTCTGTCAGAGCGGTGGGAAGCCAAGAAGCAACCGGAGATTGTGCCGATGGCGCAGCCGGTCTATAAATTCATGTTAGCAGTGTACTAGAAAGAGGGAGTTGGAGAGGCTGCATACTCCGGTCACTTGACCCAGGTATGGGTGGCCGTTCTCGACAGCAATAACTCGCTCGCCATCGCTGAGGTAATCTGTTGCTCCGGTCAATAGCACAACGTTTCCTATATGGAATTAGAAAAAATGAAACCACAGCGAGAGAAGGGGTACTTACGCTCCCTGCGGGCCAGGTCCCGAGCCAAGGCGGCTTTTTGGTTGCCGTCAAGAGTACTCGGTCCACTGTCAACACCGCGCTGCTGAACGGCACTGCTACCCCAAACTTGGCGAATCTCGCCCTCGTTGCCCTTGATGAGATCAAAGTAACCACCGGCCATAAGCTGAGTCACTGCGCTGCGGCGAATTTGTGTCGCAGCCGCACCGACAGGGTCGTAGATCACTGGGTTGCCCCGCTCATTGTATGCCTTAATGGCTTTTAGGTAGTTTGGGACACTATCGCTAGTCAAAGTCCCCATGTTGATCAGGAGGGCGCCATCAAACTTGCACAGGTCCGTGGCTTCATCGCCATACGGAGACATGATGGGAGATGCGCCACTGTAGAATGGTTAGCATGGAAAATGGCTTGAATAGGCGCAATATACTTACATGGAAAGGGCAACGTTGGCCACGAAGTTCGACACAACGAAATTGATCATGTTGTGTACGAGAGGATGCACCTTTACCATCTTACGGATGATTTGAGGCACCTCATTCAACAAGGCCTCGGCCTCGTTAGCGCGAGGAGCGTTGGAAGCCTGCGCAAACCGGGGAGGATTTTTGATGAGCTCGGCGAATTGCTCGGCAGATGCTTTGGGGTCATCGGCTGCCACGATGGCACTGACAATGGCCACACCATCCAGTGCTTTGTTTGGTGACTGAGACTGATAGAGCACTCGTTGAACGTTGGAGTGGTTGATGCCGCCGATGGAAACAGTGCCTATGGCAGAATCTTTAATGGCATCCAGGATGACTTGAGTACCTGCCGTCCCGATGACTGACTTGGTGTTGGTTTTGCTATGAATGTTGAGCGTCTATTTCTGGATAGCGGGATACTAGACATCCATGGATGCGGACTTACGTAGGGGTGGCAAACATGGTACCAATTCCGATATAGTCGGCGCCATCTGCGGTAGCCTTTTTGGCCTCTTCGACTGAGGATGTGCTGATACCAATAATGGCATCCTTAGGAAGAAGTTTCTTTGCTTCCTCGATGTCTATATTGGACATTAGTACATATATTCTTTGTAGAATCGTAGCAACGAACTCATATCATCTTGACCAAGATGCACGCCCTCGGCACCAATGGCAAGAGCCACATCAACCCGGTCATTGATCAGAAGAGGCACGTTATATTTCTTGGTTACCTGGTGTAGTTTCCGGGCAGTTTCCACCAGGAGACCAGTGTCATTGGTTTTGTCCCGGTATTGCACAACCGTTACGCCTGTAGCGGGTTAGTTGAATAATTGGCAAGGCCGGAGCACCACTCACCTCCTTGCAAAGCACTTTCTACCACTGCACACAAATCTCGCCCCTTGAGAATGGCCGGGGTCGAATCCGTGACCAAATAGAGCGATAGATCTACGGGCATGATGTCTTGGCTCCGGACAAAGGTAGAGTGGGGGATTTCGGAGTAAATAGATCCGAGGTCTTTGTAACAAAAGTGAATCAAACGGAAGTAAATAGTAAATTGAAACGGTCAGCAGGCTATATTCGTACAACACAAAACACTGTACTCAAGTTGACTGAAGGAGATTGCCGTTTATCGATGTGTGCCCGTGGTGGGGTCTTGGAAGGTTCGGCCTGTACTCGTCCGGATGTATATAACATTGTAAAATTCACTTATATATACTTCAATATTGGAGAAAAGATTTATGTTAAAGCACAAAGAATTATAAAATTGAAAACCGATCTTCAAAATCGCCCTTCTGAAATAACTAGGAGCTCATGTTGCTATATTCAGCTGTCAATGGTCCTTTATACTCCGAGTTATTCCCGGCACGTGCTCGCTGACATAACCATGATTTGTCAAATTCTGCTTTTCCTCTTCTTTTTCTTTCCTTTGCCCCAACAACACACAAACACTAGGCATCGAGTTATTTTCGAAGCCTTTTATCTATCTATCGCGTGGACTTTTAGTTCTACGCTCTTCATTTTCCATCACTGGTTAGTTCGGCCTCGCCACCATCAATTTCCACCGTCCGCCAGGCCTCCGACCTCTGACTCGGATTCCCCAAAGAACTTCAATCGTTCCCAGAAAGCAACACGTTGAGAAGTTTCCCGCGAACTTGTCTATGTATTCGTCCTCCGTCCAAAATTTCGAACATCACCTGCCGCTCAAGCTGCAAACGTTTCGCGCGCCGAAACCTTGCAGCATACACCTTCGATCCTGTGGCTGAATACCCCGGATCTTTCCTCGATTTGTTGTGACTTTTCCCCAAGAAATCACATCGTATACCCAAAAAAAGAAACTTGACACGCATGTCTTGTCTCGTCAACAACCTCATCATCCATAATCCTTCCAGCTTTCCTTTAGGCAAGCCCAACGTTCCATTCTAGAACCAATCGCTCAATCAAACCGTCATCATGGCCACCGTCAACATTCGCCGGGACATCACTGATCCCTTCTATCGCTACAAGATGGAGAAGCTCCAGGCTAAGGTCGAGGGCAAGGGCAACGGTATTAAGACCGTTGTGGTCAACCTGAACTCGGTTGCCCAGTCCCTCAGTCGCCCCCCTGCCTATCTCATCAAGTACTTCGGCTTTGAACTTGGTGCCCAAGCCAACGCTAAGCCTTCTGACGAACGTTGGATCATCAACGGCTCTCATGACGCCCCCAAGCTCCAGGACTACCTTGACGGCTTCATCTCCAAGTTTGTGCTGTGCAAGAAGTGCAAGAACCCCGAGACCGATGTCTCCATCAAGGACGAGAAGATCACTCTGGACTGCAAGGCCTGCGGTCAGCGCTCCGATGTCGACCCTCGCCTCAAGCTGAGCACCTTCATTGTTCGCAACAACCCCAAGGGTGGCAAGAAGGAGAAGAAGAAGTCCCGCCGCGAGCGAAACAAGGAGAAGGCTGCCAATGGCGAGGATGCTAGCCCTGGCGACAGCAACAACTCCGAGAATGATGATGGAGATTATGCCCTCGAGGCTAACAGCGATGATGAAGTGACCCGTCAGGCCCAGGCCATCGAGGCCGAGGCTGAGATCAAGGATGATGAGTGGGCTGTTGACGTTTCCGAGGAGGCCGTGAAGGCTCGTGCCAAGGAACTCCCATTGGACCTCAAGCGTGCTCTTGTCATTGAGGATGGTGACGATGAGGGAGCTGATGGACCCTCGTCCTACGAGCAGCTGGGCAGCTGGATCGTTGAGACCGCTGCTGAGAAGGGTGGTGTTACCAAGGTCACCGATGTTGAGATCTACATGAAGGCCAAGGAGTTCGGCATTGAGACCAAACACAAGACTTGCGCCGTGCTGGCACAGAGCATCTTCGACGACAAGATCGCCAAGCAGATCGAATCCCGCGCTGGTTTGCTTAAGAAGCTGATCACCTCCGATCGTCACGAGAAGGCTTTCCTCGGTGGTACCGAGCGCTTCGTTGGCCAGGACCACCCGGAACTTGTTGCCCAGATCCCTGCCATTCTGCTGGGATACTACCAGAACGACCTTGTGTCTGAGGAAACCCTCAAGGCGTGGGGTGCCAAGACCAGCAAGAAGTACGTCGACATCTCGACCAGCAAGAAGATCCACAAGGCTGCCAAGCCCTTCATCGAGTGGCTCGAGAATGCCGAGAGCGACGAGGAGAGTGAGGAAGACAGCGAGTAGACGATAACCGTTGCGTACGCTGTTATGTATCCTTCGTTATTTGCTATCTATGTCCATTCTTAGATTGAACCCAGGCATTTTTGGACCTCTGTCTGATCTACCCATCTCGCATGGGCTGATCACTTCGGCCATTACTTTAGTTTAGCTTACCAGTCGCCACTCCTTTGCAATGAATATCAATACGATATCAATAACCCAAGTTTCATCCACTTCAGTAGCCACTTTACTACACGTACAAGTGAAGTAGAGCAAAATACAATATAGTCATAACTCATGCCATGCAATGCTATAAACGAAAACAAACAACTAAAACACCACCTCGGCAAGTCTAACCTGCTCCCCGTCACCATTGAAAGGGAGATTAGTAGCATCGCAGTTCCCACCATTGCCTGTAGTAACCACATCCGCTCTGAAGCGATGCTGCATAAAGACAAACCACGTCAAATCCACATTCCAAGCCTCCATCGCCCGAATCGCGTCCTGAACAGAACCCATACCTTCACCAGACGCAGCATCCTTCACAGACAAAGTTGTCCTCGAAGAAATGAAATAATACTCAGGTCCGACAAACAGCGCAATCCAGCCACCAAGCATCTCGCAAATCCTATCACCCACTTCCAACGGTAACCGGACATGCGAGAGAACCGTGATAAAGAGGGAAATCAACG